ATGCAAATTGCCAAAGAAAATTTATTCCAACTACTGAATGCGAATTTTCTAGAGCGCCAAAAGTTAACCAAATATGTCAATTGAATGCTTTGTGTGTGGCAGCAACAGCGGAGAGGGCCAGGAGCAAAGGACACGGCGTGTGGCAAAAACAAACAAAGCACACAGGACCAACTAACCAAGAACGGAGCTCTTGTAGGTTAAAAGGCAATTTATCTTTGACTCTGGCCAAGGAAATTCCCGCCATTGTCTAAAGTGGTTCAATGCCCGGTTCTCCTTGGTTTCCCCTCCTGGCTCCTAGCTCTTCCTTCGAGAGTATTCGAGCTCTGCCAAGTGCGTATTTGTGTCGGTTGGGACTTAGAACTCTTGTGGGCGGTTAGTTATGTTGCCATTCCGATTCCGAGTATATACCAACCACTCAATTACACCGAACCACAGACATTCAATTGAGCAACCATATGCAGCTTAAGCAAAAGGCAAACAATGCACTCCGCATTGGGGAAACTGCAGCAATTGCTGCTGCAAGTTGTAGGTTCCATTGAAATGCCTGCGGGACTTTTCAATAAATTCTCCATTGGCATTCGGAAATTTGATCAAAACAGCACGTAAAACTATTTGAACTGCTAACCCAAATAATCCCGGGCACCCGGCCATGTAAAAACTCCCTCTATACCCCCCCCTTTCGGCTCCCCCATTTCAACAATCCTTGCCAGCTCTCGCGGCAATGAACTGTGCGGAATCAATAGATGCGATTCAAGTTGCTGCTGCAGTTGTTGCCGGTGCAGCAGCAACACGAGCTACAAGATACTTTCTGTGCAACCATAGAACTTCCCACATGCCCCAGCGGAATGCCATGGAATGTGCACACGCATCTTCGACTGCCATCCGATCTCCATCGCCTCTACCCAGTTCTTCTTCATCTCCTCCGCAAACTTGTGGTGGGAGTCCCGTTCCCGTTGCCGGTACCGCATCCGCTCCCGCTCAGTTCCTCCTCGTTCCTGCCCCATCGGTGCATGGCAGGAGCTTACATTTATGCGCGAAATTGTCGTATGCATTTGCACATTCATAAATTCTCGTTGAGCGCCCCCAAAGCGACAGCCGAGCGGGGCCCAAAGAATGTTCTCTAAAACACTAAAAGAAAGTGGAACTAAAATTCTGTAAAAAAATATATTTAAATTCTAGATAAATTAGCCTTTAATTAAGCAACTTAAGTAAAATTTTTTATGTAATTTATTACTTAACTTCTTAGATGAAAATACAACTTTAAATGGTAATAATTTTGGAAAGCATTAAAAAATTAATTTTTTGGGAAAACTTTTTTTCTGTCTGCACTATTATATAGTTGAGGGGCAGGGATCTGCTGGTTCCTAGATAGTTGGCAGCCCGTTCTCCGCCTCTCAGCTGATGCTGCTCGCTCGTGCGGCATTTAAATTTCATTTTTAATTTTTTTTTTTTTTTTTTTTTTTTGCCAGCAATTTCTCCTCTTTTTTTTTCTATACTCTGCATCATCCTGCTGCAGGCACATTTTATTATTGCATTTTACAACAACGCGGGGCAACCTTAGAGGAGCACGTCATTAGGCGATAAATTATCTCGTGCGCGCTGCATTTTGCATAAAATGTTGCCGCTGCCTTTGGATTTGGAGCGGTAAAAGTGTGCCACGTTGCAGCTGTGCAGCGGCATTAAAGGATGCTAGGCAATTTGAATTTGTGAAATTCCATGGGGGCCCACTGGCAGACCCAGACCCAGACCTAGGCCCAATCACAATCCAAACAGTTGCCGTTAGTTAGTGGAGGCCGAGTTGGAGGCCGGCTTATCTATGCACAAGATGTTGCCGTTTTGATAAGCTCGGCGCAGCAGCCGGCAATTTATGTGCCGCTGCTGCAGCAGTTGCCGCTTCTGCTGCAGTCGATGATGAATGCAACTGAAACTGCAACAGCAGCAGCAGCAACAGTTTCTGCTTGGAATGCATTGCGGCAACGTGCGTTCAACTATGCAAATTTGTGCAGCAGCGCCCAGATCCCCTTCTACATCTACATCGACTTTGACTTCGACTTGGACTTCCTCCCGCCAAGAACCCATCTATTGACTTGCAACTTGCTGCAACTTAGTAAGTGCGGATGGGAGCGCATATACATATACAGCGGGGACTTGTCAAACAGCATTCAAGCACGATTCTGGGAAACATTCCTCTCCGCTGAGTTGACTGGGAAGACTTATGCATTGCTTTGGCATTGCCTTTCGACGACGATGCGATGCAAGACAGATTTTAATACAAATGAGCTGAAATTACATAGGGGTTCTATGCATACACAGAGAGAATATCGAACCCAATGGGTGGATATCCTTACCACCTTATACATCTTTTATATTATTTTATTCAAGACAAGTTTCCTCTGTGCAAGTATAAAGTGTTGCCTGGACGAAAGCTGGATGTCATGACAGTTCAATCACCGAGATTACCGATCTAGATGCAGCTGCGCTGAGTTATGGCCAACGATGATGGCAAATCTCGATACCGCCGAAGCTGCTGCTTCTGCAATTTGTAAGGGGGGCGCCGCGTGAGCGATCTAACACAATTGATAGCCAGCCAAGAGCCAAGTGGTTTAGAAAGCCGCGGAATAGTTTCAATTGGAAGTGAATGTCAACTGCATTAAATAGATGGCTCTATGCGAGCCAATTAATCTGCAAGTTTAACGATTCCCGGCGACTTTCAGCTGCTAACGACTTCCGAGGACGTGGGTAATGCCACTGTTGCTGACATTTCCCACTCCCGCAATAGCCAACAGGCGATGACAAATGGTGGCACCGGTGCAAGGTGTACAGCGGATGACAAAAAAATCGCTGTACTTTGACTCTCTAAGACCTCCCCCGCCTGCTTCAGCCCCCCCTTTTTCGCCGGCATCGTTAGCGGCGGAGTTGTTGGCAAAGTGCAATTAAACGCCCCGCCAGTGAAACAATTACGCTATAACAATTACGCCCTGGTTGCACATGCAACTGCTACTGCAAATGCAACTGCACTGGGGAAAAATATAGGGTCTAACAGGATCGAGTTGTCATGGAAATCAAATGAGATTTTTATTGATTTTTATATCCAGTGAAAGGGATAATATAAAGTTGCTAAAAGCATAACAATCTCGATAAAAATCAGTATTCAAGCCGATATTTTTCTCTGTGCTACAACAACTGCTTTCCCCCCCTTGATCCAATCTTTTTGCAACCCCTCGGACGCGCGGTGTGTTTGTAAATTTGCCGCACTTAGCGAGGAGCAGCGACAGAATCGGTGGCAGTGGCTCCACAGCTGACGTGGCAGAGTCCGTCGAAGGCATTTCCATGCGTCAAATTGCCGACGGGGCATTGCGTGTAATTACTGCAATAAAAATCGCAACACATTGCGTATGAACATGCAACATGAGCGAGCGGTCGAATTCCAGAAACAACAAGACCGGGGGCAGAGCTTTAAGATACAACCATCGGGGAGCAGCATGTTCAGCAATTATCTAATTTATAGAGACCATTTATCAAAAGCGAAACAAATATTCAGTTTCCAAGCTCGGCAAAAAGAACTTGCCGCAATTTGTGACTGACTAACGAGCACTCAGCACATCCAGTGCCAGCCAGTCAGCGAGTCAGCCATCCAGCATTTGGCATTCGGCATTGGCAACAGCCGAGTGCACTTGGCCACTTGGGTGGCCAACTGATTGGAGCAGCAGCAGCAGCAGCAGCTGCTGTGGCCGCAGCAGTTCCACTTGCTCACTTGCTCACTGACTGCGGGGGCGGAATGGGTTTGGTTCTAGGGCTGGAGGACGTCCGTCGAGCGGAACGCAAGTTGATTGCATTTTTAGCATAAATTTCAACGCATTTGACTAATGTCCCGACATTTGTTAGGGGCCAAGCAGCGACGAGCTCCTCTGCTCTCCTCACTTGGTCATTTCTCACCGGAGTCAAGTGCCCCTTCCAACCAACCAACCAACCAACCTGGCTCTGTCCATTATCATTTCCACTGCTGGCTACTCCTCGTACACGGGACGGCTAATAGATAATGTTGATGGCTGATGGACGATTCTCGACAAAGTCGTATGCAAATTCAAACGTTGCTGCCCGCTGGCCATGTAATTGTTTCAACTGCTTAATATCACGTATACGCACCGTCGGCCAGAGACAAAAGTCGGACGGGAGCTGCAGTTGCTGCCATTGTCGTTGCAGTGGGGGACATGGCCGCGTCAACAGCAGAACGGCAGCAGAAAAATTAATTAACACGCCAAGTCTGCCTGGACACGCCTGCAGCACGTAGCAGAGACTCGGAGGCTACGAGTCGGACTCGGGCACTGGCGCGGACCCTAGCTCTAACTCGGACCCAGACTGGAGCCAGGGAGTTGGCCAGAGTCAGAGAATCACAGCCAGAGGCAGTGCCCAAAACTACACTAAGAAGAATAATGATATTCAATAAAATAAGCTTGAATTGTCCTTAAAAAAAATTTATGTTTCAAGGCAAAAATAATTTTTGTTAGGGTTCAGATTTTTGTAATTCACTATCTACTATATTTTATTATATTAATTTTAATTGTATTATTGATATTATAAATCATTTTCTTTGAACTTATATAGAGTTTTTTTCCAGTGCCCAAGCAAACCCTGTGCCCAGCACGGCTCCGTTGTTTGGCATTTTCTATTTCTCAGATTTTTTCTGTGTGCTCTCGGTATTTATGGGCATTGCAGTAAAAACCTCGATGCAATTGTGGGCGGTCAGGGGGTACTGAGGGCGGTGTTAAGTGAAAAGCGTGAAATTTATAACAGCCAATAGATTAAGCTAGAATATAAATAACATTTTCCATGGGCCAGTCTTTTTTTTCCCAGTTTCTTTTTTTTTTCCGAGTCTGCCTTTTGTCTATTGTCTCCTTGGGCAAATGGGCGGAGGATTATTGGAACCAATAATTTAGCCGCGTCGCGCCAAGAGCAGATTCTTAATCAATTGTGTTTTTTGTCTTCGCTCCCCCCTGCAGTTGCCGCCGTCAGCCAACCGAAGAACTCAACCGCACTTAAGCCGTATCTGCAGATCCAAAAGCACGCCGTCACCAAGCTGACCATCAGCAAACCGCACACATCCTACTATCTGCCATGCATCCCCATCCTCAATCCCTACAACTACGAGCAGGGTGAGTAGCAGCTATATCTGCGAATGAGGGGTTACTAATGTCTATCCTCGCGTCTGCAGACAACCAGCCCATCTACTGCAGTTGGTATCGGAATGACCTGGCCGTCGAGCAACTGTCCCTCCGCAAAAATGACTTCTTTATTTACGAGAATGGAACGCTACGACTGCCCACCAATGAGAAGGCCAGCGGGGTTTACCACTGCAAGATCGAGTGGGATGAGTCGGCGGTAATATCGGATCGGATTACTGTTGAGTATCCAGGTGAGAAATATAAACCTAATCGCAATATTGTTAAAATTAAATGGATTTAATTAATTTATTTAATATTTCTTGCAGTCCTCAAGCGCCTTTTTCCAGGCCAGCAACAAACGGCCAACATCAGTGCCGTGGAGAACAAGCCTCTTGTGCTGAACTGTCCCTTCCTCAGTATTCCCCCAGCCAAGATTAGCTGGTACTACGGCAACGATTCCCTGGCCAATGACAACAGGCGAGTAAAGATCGGTGTTGAAGCATCGAGCGGGCCTAGATTTGTACTTTATATGCAAAGCTAGCTTGCCAGCTGGATGGGTTGACCAATGCACTTCGAGATTTATGCACCTTAAGTTGGGATAGAAAATTATAAACCTTTTGTTCTAATTACAGTGCTCTTATCTTGTCAAATGGCACTTTGGTTTTACGGCATCTGCGCCTGGAACAGGCTGGGAAATACAAGTGAGTACAGAATAATGTTGGGAATACTAAAGAGCACTTGCAAGTTTATTTAGTTTAATAGGTTACAATTATTATTATTTTAACAAAGAAAACCTTTATAATAGACTCTGTGGCTTGTATGGTTTATATTTAAAATATCCTCTAGAATAAACAATATGAATTTATTGCTAAGTTTCCACATTTCCCTGATGTAATTACGCCTGATTGCCAGCTGTTTCCCCTGAACTCTGTCCAGTTTAAACTAAATCAAGACTGGCGGCAATTTTCCATTTGGCTGATGCCGCTACGCCTTGCTCCCAGTTCCCAGATGTAGCTCCCCGCTCCCCTTTGTGGCAAAATCAACACCTTTAGCGGCACTTCATCAAACTCACTCCCATCCACATCCCGTGGTCGCTATATGCAGTGCACACACGCACCGCTCGCACCGGCTTATGCCCTTAAACAATGCATTAATTAACACTTGGCGGCGGCCGAGCGGCTGCTGTAATTGTGGCCATTGTCCATGTCAATTAGTGTTGCAAACCACTGACCATTATCCGTTGCAAGTTGCCCATTAACCATTATTCCCCGTTGCAGATGCTTGGCCCAGAACGTGTTCGCCAGCAAGATACACCGCCAGTTCGTCTGGCAGCTACGCGTGGAGCCCAGTGGCGAGACCTTCTACACGGACAACCAGGCGGGTGTTTCGGAAACCACAGTTTCGGAGACCCAGCTGCTGCCCGCCTTCCAGAATGCCACCGTATACGTACCATCAGGAGGATCCGTGCTGCTGCAGTGTCACGCAGTGGCAGACTTTGTGCCCATCGAATGGTACCTCCTGTTTCCAAACAACACCGTCGTCCTGCTGAGCAACAACAGCGTGGCGTTGTCCATCACCAATGCCAGCGTATCGCAGCACGAGGGCCATTACAAGTGCAGGACGCCGCTGGAAACGCAGACCTTCCACGTCATCGTGACGAGTCCGCCGCGAATTGTGAACGGCCTGCCCGTCGAGCTGGTGTACATCAGTCTCTCGAAGACGCTGAGCTGTCGGGCGGAGGGTAACCCGGAGCCCACTATTAGCTGGTACCACAATGGAGCCCCACTAAATAGCTCCTACACCCGGTACATCAACGGGAATGAGCTGCAGATTCACTCGTTCGATCCTGAGGAGGAGGGTATCTACCAGTGCGTGGCCAGGAATGTGGCTGGCGAGGATTCGGCCACTGGCGAGCTGCGTTTCAAGCACCAAATGGAGCATGTCAACATGCTGCAAAATATCCGCTGCTATCCGCACAGCTTCCATACCATCAACATCACCTTTGACAGCCGCATGCTGGAGTCCATGTTCGTGGTTTATATCGTCAGAAGTAATCCGCATAGCTGGACTTCGTTTGCGCCCATGAAGCTCAACCAGACCTCTTATGTGGTGATATCCACCAACCTGCCGGTGTACCAGCCCTTCGCTTTGATCACCCGCTTCCTGTACCCCATCACGGAGGTGAGGAGTGGCACCTTGGTGCCGCAGCAGATGATTCTCAGCTCCAATCGCAGTCCGCCGGTTACCTGCTGCACCCAGGGATGTGAGTATATTTTAATTGAATTTAATCATAACCCACACTAAATTCCTGCTTTACAGTGATGCTTCGACCCATTGCCGTGGGCAATGATACCTTTGTGAAGTGGTCGCAGGGCCAGTTGGAGAACAAGAAATACTTCATCCTGCAGTTCTCTATTAACCACACGAATCCCCATCCCGAGCAGCTGCTGAATGGATCCTTGTATGGCACTCTGTCTCCTGTGGAGGAGAAGGCTGACGAGGTGCGTCGCCATCTGACGATAATTCAGCCTTTAAATCACTCGGCTGCGGCAACGGTGCTGCGGAATGCCGAGCACGAGCAGGACACCGAAAACGATGAGATGACCCTTGAACTGGAGGACGATATCTTCAGCTTGGTGGTGGATGCCAGTGTGACAGGAATGCTGCTCCAGCGATTTACGCGGATCAAGATGCGAGTGCTGATCATCACCAGCGAGAACGAGTTTTTGGGCCAGGACTTTCGCTACGTCCAGTGGAAGATTGTGAGTAGACTGTACTGTAGGAGCATTATTTGTTCACCCTTAGAGGATTACCAGAGATCTAAGAACATTATTAAAGCCCAAATGGAACTCAATTTCCTTGCAGATCGAGAATGGGACCTCGGAACAAGCGAATATGCCCTTTCGCCTGGTCACCATTGAGTCCCGGGCGCTGGCATTCAAGTTTCTGGACAGCCTAAACGAGACCTGCGTGGTGGAGTGCCACATGGTGATTCCAATCCCCTTTCCCAGTCAGGAGCCAAAGTGCCAGGAACGCAACATTTCCAACTCGATGCTGCTAGTCACCGACCTCAAGGCGGATCATCGATATAATTTACACTTTTACAACTGCAGGACGCGCATCTTTTACGGGGAGATTGATGTCAAGACGGAGCAGGATCGTAAGATTTGGTTACTGGTTGTTTAATGGTTACCTCTTTTAACCGAAGTACCTTCTTTTAGCTCCTGGAACTATTAGCAACTCGAAGCTAATCAAGCAGAATGGCCTTAAGCTTATGTGGGAGCCACCGACAAATCCTAATGGCAGAGTACATCACTATGACATTAGGTGGACCCTGGACAATGTCACGCATGAGGCTATAGTTAAGGAGTGCAAATTCTGCTCCTACAAGGTAAGTGAAGCTGGAAAGCAGCGGGTTAGTTCACTTGGAGGTGATACCATCCTTTCCTTAAACTTTGTTCCCTCTTCCCCTTACCCCTGCAGTTTCCCAACGTTTCGGAGACGGCCAAAATCCATGTGGCTGTTCGCGTCATGGGCGATACGGGAGCCGGTGCTCCAATGTACTTTGACATGGCAAATAACAACCACAGCCTGCTCGAAATGGACACCGAGTCATCGCGCTCGGAGGTGTACAGTGGCATTGCCATCGGCTCGCTGCTCTCCATTGCCTGTGTCCTGCTCTTCGGGCTTTTCATCATATTCCAGCAGCGACGCTTCAAGGCCCGCGCCCCAGGGCCCACCCACCTGACCACGCCCACGGACATCACTTTCGGTAATCTGAGCAGCGCTTCGGGAATGCCCGGCGACAGTGCCGGCGGCCTGAGTGGCGGCACCTTGCAGCAGGATTGCCACGAGATGCAGACACTTATTCCGCGGTCGCGCTACCACATTGAGTTGCTGCCGGAGCACACGGGCCTGGAGTACCAGACCAGTTCGGCCGCTGCTGCTGCTGCTGCGGTTGTCCATCTGGCCAATGGCAATGGCAGTGTTCAGGTGGCGAGGCGCGTGGATCTGGAGGGAGTTCAGGCAGATTTGAGTATAGCCGGTGTCCACAACCTGTCGCAGTTGCCGCTGTGCGGGGGTGGGACGTCTCCAGAACGGAAAACCGTGCAGGATGCCATGCTGCAGGAGGCCAAAGCCTTTTACATACCCTACCGCCACACGCCGCCCAATGCGGTGGCCCTGAGCAGCAGCTCCAAGCAGTGTCCGGCCAGTAGCTCCGATTTGGAGGTGATTGTGCCGCCCAATTCTTTGCCTTTGGTTAGCACCATGGCAGGATTGGGCGGCGGCAGCGGCGGAGGAGGAGCTGGAGGAGCAGGCTCAACCCGACGCAGTGGAAGCCTGAGCAGCAGCAGTGCCAGCAGCAGCAGCAACGGCAGCAGCAAAAAGCAGTTCCACACGAACTTTGTGCGCCACTCGAATTCCAACGACGGAATTTGCCTGCTGGCCGAGGAAGAGGCGGCCGCCACCCTCACACCCACCTCGGAGCGCGAATATGCGGCCGTGTGTCTCACCAACGGTTTCAAGCTGCCCGCCGATGTGGCCAAGTCGGGCAACTATAGTACCAACAACAACAATAGCAGCAGCAGCAGCAACACCAGCAACGGCACCCACCTCAGCCAGAAGTCAGGAGCTGCCCCAGTCGCTGGCCCAGTTACTGCCACTGCCACTGCCACCGCCAAGGATCGCCAGCCGCGCGGCAATGGCAATCCGATCTCGTTCAGCCACAATGCATCCATAGTTCCTGCCAACGGACCAGCCTCCGTTAACCACACGTCAGCAGTCAAGCAGTCGTGGCCAGCGGCGACGGTGGTCCATCGCCGGGCCCAGGTGGATCCCAATGGGTGAAGCAACCAGTATTTTTACCTAGCTACTACCACATAGAAGCAAAACAAAACGAAGGAAAGCGAAGAGAAATGAAGCGAAGAGGGGAAATTACATAAGTAAAACACATTCACAGCTCGAAACATTCCAAAAGAATATAAATATACGGTTAGGAGAGGTAGATGATGATGATTTAGCATTTATAAAGAGTACATTTTATAAATGTAGATATTTAGTAACTGAAACTATGGAACTATGGGAGAAATGTTTAATTAAGCTGATATTTATACACACAGATACACAGACACACTCACACACACACACAGGAGAGTGTCTGCATGGAACCGAAGTAAACGCCAAGTTCTATGCTATACTTTTTCGCCTTTCTACATTTCTTATACCGTAGTATTGTAATTGTTTAGTTTTTGTTTGTTTTTCGTTAATTGAGGCTAATTTTTACACGTTTGTGTATGCATAATTTATTGTTGCTTGTCTGATGCCGAACAGCTTAAACATAAACATAGACATAGACCATAACATATAAGCATTTACACCGCGCAGCCCGCAAGTATGCATTACATACATTTGTCGCCCGATAATTACTGCGTTTAACAACTGCATTGAATTCAATTACACTCTCACACATACACATATAGTATAGTAGGCAATACGCAAACAGAACAGCCAAAAAAACCACACACACCGCACACTGCAATAGCCCAACCACAGACCCACTCAAATACCACTCGACCGCAATAGTCACAAGTGTTCACATATCGATTCCGATTTAAAACGTAATATATATTCAATAATATTTGTAATTTTATTTTATTCTATTTATATTCCCGTATTTGTAATTGTATTTGTATTTGCCTTTGCAGACTTTTTTAAACTAAATGTTTAATTTCCGCATATTTACTGCTGCATTTTGTTTTGTTTATAAAACCGATATATCAAATGTACCTGATTATATTCATTTTGCATTCTTGTTTACGTGCTCTCGCTCTCACCACCCGATACTCACACACCCCAGGCACACACACAAACACACCCATATACTAAATAAAACTATAATAAGCCACACAAAATCCGTTGCAAAACCTACCTTATTGTATATTAAATTCAGCAACAGTACCTCCTACAAAAATCGACAAAAAAAAAAAAAAACAAAAACCTGTAGCTACGCCAAAAACATACAACCAGATCCTGCTGCTCCTGGTCCTGGTATTATTTTTGACAGGACAGGACAGCTGGGAAGCTAAAGTAGCCAACAACAAAGAGCATAGGCAAGTAGATGCCAGCTCTCCGGTAGGAATTTGTGTGAAATGTTGTTCAGTGTGAAACGAGATGCGATAATTGTTACGAGAGACACACAAAACACAGCCACATACAGACCCAAACCCAAATATAGTCGAAACATTCCACAGACACAGTATGCATTGCACAGATACAACACTCACACTCACTCACAAGGACACACACAGGAGGAGGTCTATCTCGAATGGAGACAAGTTTTACATGTTTAAAAACCAGTACGAAATTATATATGTATGAATCATAATTCGATGTGAACGAGAAATGTGTTTGAAAAATGTAACTGTAACTGTATACGTATTTAGAGTCTAAGTGCAATACCAACAAATAATAAAATAGCAAAAGATAACCATTAAGACCGAACCGACAGACAGACAAACTATATAAACAATAGTACCTTCCCACTCAAGCAGAAGCAACGTTCAAAGTAGTCTCACGTCCCGAGTCCCAGTTAGTGTTGCAAACTCTCCAGCCCAACCAAGACCATCAGTAAATAAACAATCTCTAATTTGTGTTCAAGCTGAATCAGGGCAGCTCTTCTGCCCGTGCGATTCGCCGAGAGGAGTAGTCATCGATTTATAGACGAATAATTTTACAATTTACAAAGCAATTGTGTCACAGCAAAGCCACAAAATGAACTTTAACCTACGAAAAGCATTTAAGCAAACGCAAAAATATATTCCGAACGAACAACTCAAAATTCCTAGTAAAGAGAAAGAACATTTTAAACGTTACAAAAAATTATGAATACATACAACAAAAAATTAACTAAAACACTATTATATGCAGCAAAAGGCAACAAGAAAATTTATGTACTAAAGTTATATAATTAGGCATAAGAAATTCATATAAATGTACGTGTTTGGAAAAGATAAAAAAAAAACAAAACAGGAGAAAGAGAAATGGAGGCATGGAGAAATTAAGTAAAATAGCTGCGATTGTGATCGCCGTGTAAGTGGATGTGATAAATGTTTAAATTATTTAAGCGCAAAAACAATAAAGAGATAATGAAATTAAGAATTAGGAAGACATAGAAACGCGTATTGCGACTTTTGCAACGGTTTTTGGCCAACGGAAACCACTCAATAACTAAGAGTCCACTAAAATTGTAAGCAAACAATTAATTATGTTCTTATCTTTGGCGATACTGCTGCTGCTCCTAGCACTCTCTACTAAGTCTATATCTTTATTATTTGTTAATTTTAGTTCGCATTTAAGTCCACATTTTGTATACCTCATTAGTAGAGTGGCAAAGAACTAAATTTTGTAACCATATTTAGGCTTGGTTTCCTCGTTTTACATTCACAATGGCATATTTGAACAAACGAAACAACAAACAAAAAACTAATGTATTTTTTATGCAATTTATAAGCATTGTATATGCGGGCGAAATTAATTATTTGAAGCAACTAAGCTGCCAATGGTTCCTGTTAAAGATTTCGACGCAAGTGTAAATTGGCAAAACCATCGGAAAGGCCAAAAGTAATGAGCCACAAGGAGCCCTTGGCCCGGCTAAAAAGAGTCTAAGGAAAACTGTAAGAGCGCTCGGTGTTTGTTTAGAGAATACAGAAGAAGATATGGCAAAGAAGAAATGAATGCAACCTTAACTATTGGGAAAATATACTACAAATAAGTTATGATGAAAAACTTACAAACACGCGTGTTTAATTTACAAAGTTTCACTCCCATTCCCAAACATTTTCACCACAATTTCAGTCACAGGCAAGTTTATAAAATACATTTTGTTTATTGTTTTTAGTAACTGATAACTTATTAATTAGGTATAAAACATCGACCGATTAAAATTTCAGGAAACTCTCATATGTATGCATCAATTTTGTAGTCGTTGGTAACGTTTTACAGCGGTGTAGGTTTCGGTTTATACATAGATACAGACATTCATAGAACTATCAAACGCTAAATATGCAAATAATTATGTATGGTAAAATATCAATAACGTATTCACGGGTGCTTGGGGGAACATCACAACAAAGTGCGTCGACATGATCACAAACGATCACAAAAATTGCAAAAATTATCATTGGACGCCCGCCGATGGCATGGCCTGCCTGCTTCTCTGTCTGAGGCTTAAACTACAGGCAACAAAGTGTGTGTAATTACTAACTTGAGCTATTTGCTATGGATAAGCGAATTAAAGGTAATGAAACAAGTATGCTATGCACTATTTAAACAACAAGCGACGCTCTAATATTAAGCATTTAGGTACGCGTAATTATCATGACATCTCTGAGTTGCCAGTTCTATTCACAATTCGGTTCCAAATAGATCAGGTCCTAATACAATATACTTTACACACACGTATAATGCATTTTAGTTCCACTGAACTCTCAGCTCAGCACACCTTCTCGATCATTTTCACCAGTTCTTTGTACAGTATACAATCCCGTCCTCGGGGCTTGCAGATTTCGCGATGATCAAGGCGAATGCCGCAGACATCGCCAATGCCGGGATCTGTAAAGGAAAATATTATATTTAAATATATTCTCTTAGTTATCCCTAAATAAACACTCACCTGCCGAGTCCACACCCACAATTCGCAGGTACAGCACGGACATGAGCGTCAACGCAGTCTCCACAAAGCTAAACACCTCGATCTTCAAGTGACCCAGGTGATACAGACCCGCAAAACGCCTATGAAGGTCCAATAGGTACTTGTTGTCTGTAAAAATAAAAAAAGGAAATATTACTTAGTTTTAGTCCTTCAAAATCCCTTTTCTAGCTTACTCTTCTCAATCTCCAGCAGCTCTACGGATCGCGAGAGCAGCGGCGCTTTGATGCTGGCCAAGTGGGAACCTCGATGCGGCACCGAGTAGAAGAAGCAGCCTCGGGCGGAGCGCCAAAGCGGAGTCATAGCCGGACGACCACACTCCCAGGCATCCACGATGAGCTGTTTGATGAACAGTCCACCCTTCGAGTGGCCCACATAGATAATCGGGTGGCCATGGCCCACACGCTGCTGAATGAGCAGCTCGGCCATCTCCCGGGAGCGCTGTATAAGGCTGGAGCGCGGCTCCTTGCTTTTCCACAGCGGACGCCACAGGTACTGATCGGTGGTGTAGTTGACGGCAATCACTCGCACTCCGGGACAGTCCAGAGGCAGCCAGTCGCCTGGCCAGCATTTGGAGTAGTTGGGATCGTCGGGCGAGGGTTTGCTCCTGCGAAAGGACTTTCGCGGCGTTCCGGGTGAGGTGGGACGCGGGCGGGGACCCTGAGGACCTGCTTCGCTGCCATCGGCCTGCAGCATGGATTCTAGCTCGGCTGGAAGTAGCCGACTGTTGTCATGCATCCGCAGCCGGAAAGTGGGGAAGCTGTATTCGATGCCCTCGCAGATCTGGATGTCCTCCGGTTCACCGCACACATAAGCATAGCTGAGGAATGGAGAAGATTAATTAGTGGAACAAAGTATAAAGTTTCCATTTAAACTTACTCCCCACCATCATCGCTGTCGGAAGCATTGAGTTGGAAGTCCTCCTCCGGCTGCATTGCCACGGATCGCTGCAGGCGCGTCCGCTGTAGCACTGGAGCATCGTCGGTGGTGTCCAGGCACCGGTTGAGGGAGGCGAACTTGGCTCGCTTCTCCCTGGGAGCTGGATGAATTGCGGCGCTGCGAGAGTGGCGTGGTCTCTTGGGCGGCCTCACCGGTGGGCGTGGCGGCCTTTCAAACTCCACCGGTTTGCGATCATTCTGCCAGAGTCCCTGCTTCCATGTGTTCACCAGGGATCCGTGTAGTCCGTGGATGAGCACAATATCCGCCCGAATGGGCTGACCCGGCGGTGGCTCAGCCAGGATGTTGAGGGTGCAACAGCTGGGCGCATCCGAGCGAACGCTGTAAAGGGGCGGGCCCTGCATCGGACTGCTGGGCGTGCAGGGTGTGGAGGGAGCACTAAGGGTATCCGGAAGACTCTCAAGGCCATCCTGCGACTTGCGCATCTTAAGAAGTTTCAGTAGCGGTCCCATGCGGTTAGAAACTATAAAAAGAAACTATATTTAGACCTCCGACCTTTGACATACTTTTGTGTATTTATAGAGCGCAAGACTTACCCTGAACCGAGGAAAGATTCAGTGAGATAGTGTTGGCTGCGAAGGCCACCAGATTGGTAAGAGCCTGCCTGCTGGAGGCCAGGTTCTGGAGCGCCCTCAGCACGCGCACATCGCGAATGCCCTTGATGCCCCTGGCCACGCCATTCGCCAGGGGAAGGACCAGTCGCACCAGGATACCGAAGACCACACGCATGCTGCCCCCGTTCTTGCTGTCTCTGAGGGGGATTCAATGGGGTTAGCCACGGCTAAGGCAAGGGAGCACAATCCTACTTACGCCTCCATGAGAGCACCTGCACTGCTCGACCGCACCAAATCGCTGACCGCCTGCTCCTCCTCCTGGCGATCGATCTCCACCTCGTTCCCATTGTTTGTACTTGCATTGTCGTCCAGCAGCTCCGGTGGCTGTGAGTCATCCGCTGGCGCATTGTGTGTCACCTCCTCTCCGCCGATTCGCATCATGGCAATGTCGCAGACGTAATGTTCATCGATTTCCTGCAGCGGCGAGTCGCAGCTGGGGCTTCTGTTCCCGTTTCTGTTATTGTTCTTCTTCAGATTCTTGGCCTCCGTGGCGTCATCTTCCCCGAAGGGGTTGCCCTCACAGGCAGTATTTTCTTGGGTGGGCTCAGATCCTCTGGCGAACATTTCCCAACTACCTACTGCCCTGGAGTTAATTAATTCGGAACCACCATGCTGCAGTTGACTCTATCTGCAAGTTCAACGAAGAATTTGGTAGTTAATCATATGCTAGCCACTGGCGGATGCAATTTGTCAATGTCGTTGGTGGCCACTGGGCTAAAAACAATGCGGTCAAAAGCAGTCTCTCTAGCCGGGCAAGGCTTCTGGCTCTCTCTCTGGCTGAAGGAAAATAAACTGGCGGACTAAAAATAAATATTCACTTGGCGCCTGCAGTAAAGTACTTAAACGACACGGTGGGCCTGAGCTTGTAAACTTTGAACTTTTACTCAATTGGTAAACAAGATGAGAGTTAAGGAAAATATTACTAAGTTTCCCTTAAAATCATTTTAAAAAAAAAAGTATGTATGTATGTATGTGTATGATGGCCATAGTTTATTTAAGAGTGTAAAAAAGAAAAGTGTAATAAATAGATTTCAAAGGCGAAAGCTTTAGAAAGACCTCTTAAGATAAGAGCAATAGTTATTCCACTTATCTATGTATACACTTGAAAACTATCTAGCACTAAGCTGATTTTCAATCTGTTGGAATTTACGTGATAAGAGAACAGAGAGAATTCTATGGTTCTACGCCGTTTTTATTTGGTCAAGTGTCACTTTTAATTCTCAAGAAAAGATCATATATTCTTTACTGATAAGCATAAAACGAGATGTCCAAGTTCAATAGATTCATTTTCCCTTCCCAGAAATAAAGATTTCAGTCACATTCGATCTTTACGCTCTCAACATCTGCGAGCCTCCTAATGTCGGTTATAAAATGCTCTTGATGACCGCAAAACAATGATATTTATAACGAATGCTCGCTCGCCTCACCGGTCTGCCCCCGCAATCCAATTAGATGCGAAAGCAACAAATGTCAGATATAATGCCGAGAGTTGCTGCTGCCGCATAATGACAGTGACGTGCCGCTTGTAATGCCCTTAGGTTATGGCAGGCCGTACAGGTTCAAGTTGAGGGTCGCACAAAAGCGAGGAAAAACAGTGAAAAACATTCGTGCCCATCGCCTTTGTGTTCGCCACAGAAGCTATTTATAGCTGAAAATGCCGCAATATGCTGCAGGCGCCTTACACTCTCAATAAATGTATGCAAATCCGACAGTTAGGTGGTTGGCTGTACGTCAGGGGAAACGCGAATAATGACACTACCCAGAAAGTGTTTCCTATTAAGAGCGGTGCTTGAAATATTCATTAACGGGTGAATAAATATTTTTATTTTTTGTAAAAACTCATTTGTTTATAATGAAAATCCCTCTCAAAAACAGTAGGGCCATCTTGTTTCTCGACCAGTGTAATTAGCACAGCGACACATTATGAAATTCCACAAGTTAGACTCAAAGTTATGGCAACAACAACCGCACACACCACCCGCACGCCCACTTCGGCCAGCTCGACTTACACTTGATTCTCGGAATCGGAGAAATGCACACCGCTCGCCTTGAAAATCTGGGCCGGACTGGAACGGCACCTTGGCGATACCAATGGCGAGGCCTGCGGCTGGGGCTGCGACTGCGGTTATTTGCAGCCCCTAGAGCTCTAGTAGTTGGCACTTGCTCTGCTCGAATTGAGGCAACAGGCACTCTAGCCCAAAGTGGCCGAGAAACGGACAATTGACTGCCTCTGGCTCCGGTTCTGATTCCCGGCAATTGGAGACAACGAAAAGTTCAATTCAATTCGTTTGTCTGTTATCGTTCATTGTTTCATTAAGTGCGACCAACTTGGCGGATGGGCCGGGCCTCAGGCCATTCGCGGCAAGTGTTTGCTGTTTGCACTAATTGACGAGCAAGACAGTGTGCTCTTATCTAAATACCAGACAGAGCTCGATAGAGATTAGCCAGGCAAATTGGTTTTATGGAAATTTCGTTAATTAATTTCACGGCCTGATAGTGCAAAGGGCACTCGATATGTACCCTCCTCCGATTCAAAGCACAATCAAGTATTTATTTATGCGATTTGACGAGGAGGTTGCGAACTCTTTTGACAGGCAGCACTTAGCATACTTTATGGGTGGCCATAATATGCTAATGCATCGATAAACTAAATCAGCAATACTCGACTATTGTTATTCCCAGTCTGTAGACAGCTACCGAATAATCCATTTTCTGTACAAATTTCTATTACTTTGTAGTCATTTTTGCTCGGTTTACTAGTTGTGCAAAAAGAACTGGCTTTATGTATAGTATATCAAATTCAAAATCAAGTTTAATGGTTTAAAGTTAAAATAAATAATATTAAACTAAAATTACTTATCTGATTAAATCGTTTAATAAGCATACTATTTAATAACTCTTTTTTATTTACTTCTTGGCATTCTTAAATTATAAAAACAATTAAGAAAATAAGTTTTCTATCTCACATGAGTAGATCGGTTTGTTTAAATACAAACATTTTTATGAGTGTACAGTAGAAGTACAACTATAATATATATATATATATATTTGTAACTTGTTGATGCGCAGAAAGCAACGTAAATTTCATTTCCCAAGGTAAAAAGCTTGTGCAGTGCAGAAAATAAAACACTTTTCTTATCTAATGCCCATCGACAAGATTTGCAATTTACATTGTGCAAAATATATTGAACTCACGGGAGAGCGGCCGTTGCAGTTGTTGACCATGTTGTGGTCATGCTTGTGCGCCGACCAACGAGCCTCCTCTCTCTCTCTCTCTCTCTCTCGGGCTCTTGAGTCGTTGTGGTAATGGGGCGTATGCTTAATTCGAACTCTAGTCGCCGAGATTACTCATACGCCGCGTGGACTTTGACCAGCCGCTTTTATCATCGCCCCCGAATGCAGCCCAGGGGTCCGTCTTTTGTTTGTCTCGCTGCTGTTTATCGGAACACCAGTTGCACACAGAGCAGTGTCGAAGCCTGCCAACCAAAGGGTTTTGTAATTACAGCCCCAAAATATGCGATTATCGCCTGCTGTGCCAGAGTGCAATCTATGGTGCATAATTGCTGGCCAACAAGCTGCTAAGCGTGTGCACGTTTGTCAGCTGGAAATGGCCGTTTATTATGCAAAATAATCGGTTTGGGCCTTGGCGGGGAATAGCAGCATTGCTGGATTTCTGGCCAGTTGCCCAGCATAGCATGCAAGGCGTTCGGCATGCTAATTAATTTGTCGCATGCTGCAGCCACGTGAACTGGGATCGGGCTCCACAGCGGCGCAGCTTGCATGCCCGAGTGGTCCAGTAATTCACCTGTTATTGTGCAACAAAGCGGAACAATACTCTTTGTAGCCGGGCGATGACATAAGACCTTAAAGCCATAAGGCCCACATTTAAATATGAATGGATAACTATCCGCATTTCACCCGTGAAATCAACCGTTTCGAATGATTACGAGCGTTAATCAGGGGAACAATTTTCAGGTTCAAGAACTATTCGCGACGATAAGATAGGCATTAACAATTGATTCGAGGTACTTGAGCCGTACACAACAGAAAGCTCAATAAAACCTGGCATTCAAAAAACATCTGTCACCCGAATAACAAGAGGTCAGCGGCAAGGAAACTGCGGCATTAACAGATAATAAATTCTCACCCATTAATGGGTCACTGGCAGATAAGCATTGAACTGCGGAAGGCCAGCTGCCTTAACTGGGTCAAAAGCAACGGGAAATTGTGTCCACTTAATCCTTTTGTCTTCCGACCAAGAGAATACATTAATTATTCAGACACAAAGAGACGAATTCAAGATAACCAGCCGGCTGATAGCGGAGCTTTTATTATCCACCCGCTTGTTTGTAATAACTAATCAGAATGTAAACTTATTTTCGTAAACAATGGAATTAATAATGATATTCACATTTCCCACCCCGCCCTACAGAAGCGTGCGCCAGCCGCACATCAATTTCACTTTTGAAAATACATTTGTATAATTTCCATGTGAGTTGTTTGACAGCAAGAGCTCGCAAAACAAGTTATGCAAAGCGAGCGGCAATTAATTTTGTATTATGTGTAGCTGTATCTGTATCTGTATCTGATGCTGTATCTGTATCTGTAGGTGTATCTGTATCTGTATCTGCAGACCGTGGATCAGGCCATACAAAAAGTTCTGTCGGATGTTCGGTTGTGGCCAATGAGGAACTGTTCCGTCGATGGGGCGACCCTGACCGCCATTGACCTTGATGCGATGGCAACTATTAAACTAACCCACTCGGGCCGTCTTTGACAAGGCACTCTCTTTGCTAATTAGAATGTTCCCATCTCCCAACGGGCCTAAACGATGCGCCCGAGATTAATTACTGGCCGGCACTGGCCTGCCTTGATTATTACGCCTTGGCTACTGTCACCGGCAGGCAACCTTTGGACTTTAATGGAAAACCGGCACATAATCACTGCACTGAGCGTAAATATAGGGATAATTTTTCCTTCAAGAGAGCTCCTCTGTCCGGCATAGCAACAACATGTTGCTGTATAGCTTATATACATAAGTAGATATACTAAGACTAAGGCTTTGTGAAATGAAACACATGTTGAACACAAAAAATGATTATTAACTGCGTGAAGGAAAAGTATGGTTGAAAATCGCTTGTGTCAACAATTGGAGTATTGTTTATGGTTCCTGCCTTTGTTAATGTTTAGATGATTTTTAATCATTGTGATTTGAAACCAGAATCATGGTAATAATACCCCATTGTTTATCAGTTGAAACTATGGGTTGCGGTTTCGATGACTTTGGTTTCCCATTTCCCATGAAAAGTGTCATTGATTGCTTGGGCTTTCATTTATCGGTTTACTGTCTCTGATATTTTTCTAATTTTTTCGGTCTAGAAACTACTTTTCCTTTCATTAGGGAATAAATCAACAATTCGTAAAGTTTTTCTCACTGTCTTTTCCCTGGCTTTTCCGCTGTTGCTCCACTCTCTGGGGTATCTCTCGCCTAAAAACCGGCTAACTGAGAGCGGAGAGCCGCAGCATTTGGCTAAGAGCGGGATAAGTTTTGGACAAAAGCTGCAGCCCCTGCTGTGTTGAGGTGGGTTTGAGTTAATAAAGAAAACACAAAGCGCGAAACCAAAACAACACGTGCAGGTTGGTGGCGGGAGAGAGAGGAGAAGCGGCTTAAGGGTGGGGCCAGAGGGCGTGGGAGCTTGTAAGACGAAGCCACCTTAACCTTCAGCACGCGTGTGCCGCCGAGCTGAGGTAACTCAGGCAACTCAACTGAAGAAATGAAAACGAAATCAACTGCGGATGGCCGAGGAACCAAGGAGCTATAATTTGTGAACTTTAAGGCCGTGAACGTGTTTTGAGTTCGTGATTCTGTCCAGTTCACTCCACCCACCATTCGAATACAGATATAGATATACATAGTCTCTAGATATATATACTCTACATATAGTCGGCCCGCTTTGTGAGGGGTGTACAATTGAGCCAATTTGTCGAGGGAATTCGCAATCGCCAAACATTTGTCACAATTAATTAAATTATTCAAAGGTTGTCTCTATGCCGAATGCAAACCAAAAGTATAACTCACACCTGGCTCATTATTATGTTTTCATATTTAATCGGCTTGGCAACTGCTTCTTTGGCCGCCTTATAAATGGTTAATTCTATTTGTTTGCTTTAGAACGAGATACTTGTTGTTGTTTTGCTTCACTTAGGGGATGGTTAGCCACTTAGGGGGGCTATGAAAAGAGGCCTATATTGCGATATACAAAAGTTCTGCTCAAGATGATTTCAAGAGTTCTTTTTGAGAACTTTTCTTAATAGGCAGAACCATATATCACGCATAAATGTGCATATAGCTATATATATATGTGGTGGATCCGACAAAGCACGCTCACATACACACACCCACACTCGCACTGTGAAACTTACACACTCGACGACAACAACAAGAAGCTTTTACGCGGCGCGAGTTTTTTAAAAAAAAAGCATCCCGCGAAAGACGAGGAAACGCGTCCGTAGCGCTTCGACGCTCGGCAGCAACTATTGTGCTATTACAAATAAAAACACGCTCACGAAAAATCTCCAACTGACAGCATAAAGGCCCCAGCACCCGTTCCCCACCCAGCCAGCACACACAGATACATTCCCCCATCTGTGTGTCAACAAGAGTTAAGCTTTGCTGTTGTTTTTGTCGGGCAGCTGTTCGCGTTGCTAAGCTTTGCGTGGAGCAAAGAGAAGGGGAGATAGAGAGCAGTCCCCCCAGCAGTGACATTACACAGAGTGGAGCCAAGAGAAGGAAAACTTAAGAGAGCTTCGTCGGTTTCTGGGACCTGCCAACTTATTGCAGTGCAGCCCGCGTTTTACTATCTATTCAAATACAGCTTAGTTTATACAAATATATCAAAAGATATCGAGGTCTAGCCACGAAAATAACACAAGCCGTAATTGAAGACTAGATTTTGGAAGCTCCACATCATCTTCTTGAAATAATATTGGAAATTGGTTCTATATTTTTACCAACTGCGATAAATTCAAGCCTTGTGTTACTTCCATGGTTAGAGCGCTATGTTTTAGTGACAAAGAGTTCGACCTCCCATCATACAAAAGAGCGGCTTCTCTGGTTCAGAGAGCCTTGGCCACCACCACCAGCTCCAGGCAGGTGACTGACACAAAAATAGATTCCCAACGGTCCAAGAAGTAAGTCCCACACTTCAGGACGAGTCCGAGCTAGAGGAGGAGGAGCTGTCCGAGCTGCTGTCTCCGGAACTAGTGTCGCTGCTACTCCCACGACGCTTACGCCGCCGGGCCTTCTTCTCGTCAATCACCTCGTAGCTGGGCAGTGTGGAGTTGCTGGAGTCGGAGCTGCTGCTGCTGCTGCTCGAGCTGCTCGACTCCTCTACCACCGCCTCGATCTTGCGGGCTTTCCTGGGGAATGGACACAGAATACAGTGAAATGGTCACCATCGAAGGCCAGAGGCATTACCTACTTCTTATCGGTTTTGTCCGCGCCCTTGCCGCGCTTCTTGCTTTTGGCCAGGTCACAGTCGCTGGGTGAGCTGCTGCAGTGGCGCTTCGACTTTTTGCCCTTCTTGTCCTTGCGCCGCGATTCCTTGTCCGTGCCGCTGGCCTTGGTGGAGTACAGGTTCTGAGAGCTGGCGGTGGAATAGCCCGTGTCCTTGCGCTTACGTTTCTTCCTGGAAAGGAAGGGTTAACCAGAGGGTACTGTCTGCGAAAGGGATAAGCACTCACTTGTCTTTCTTATCCTTTTTCTTTTTGCTGTACCCAGTCTCCTGCTCTGCATAGTCCCTATCCTTGGCCCTGTTTGAAAATGAATGTTATGATAAAGATACATTTAATGAAAGCTTGTCCTTACTTCTTGATCTTCTTTTTGATATCGCCACCTCGCTCATTGGATATCATGTAGATGCTGTTCTGATCCGCATCCTGAACCTTTCGCCGAGACTGGAACTGACGCGCCTTGGCCATGCGACTCTCGCGGCGATTCTTCCAGAATTCTGCGTTGACCACATACAGGCGATACAGCTGCAGAATAATCACCAAGGAGTTTTTGCCTGGAAGTTATTTAGCAAATTAATTATACTAACAAATTAAGGTAAAGTTGCCAAAAGAACTTACAGGTGAAGAAGACATTCATATAGTTAATAATATTGTATTGAAAGATGATCAGCAAGCGAAAGGTTAGAAAGGGCGCATCCTGCAGGATGACGTTGAGCACAATGCCCCACACATCTATGCCACAGCAGCAGTTCTGGCAGCAGTCCGTGTGTCTGTAAAATAAACATAAATGAGAAAAGTCCTGATTTGAGCTTGTACAAAGTTCCACTCACTCCTCCTTGCTATGCGATCCACTGCCACGGGGACGTCGTCCTCGCGTCGCTGAAAGCACTATAGTGAACTGCATGAGGCTCCAGGACCAAATGCCCAGTGTCAGGAAGACCAGGAATCCAATCTCCGCTATGGAGTCGTCCTTGTACGAGTCAAAAAACTCTATGATGTCCGCCGCCGTGCCAATATAGACCAGGAGCAGCTGACTGAGCTGGTCCCGCGTGAGATCGCCCTTCGGGAGTAGCCACCGGCCCACAATGAGGATCAGCATGAGGAACTGCTCGATTAGTGTGGTCAGGGTGGCCCTACTGATGTGCGGCAGCTTGACTCCGGCTTGGCCCAGCAGATTAGCCATGGGCACAATGCCACTGATGTTGCTGTCCGGGAGGTTGGAGTTGTTGACCAGAGGACTGCTGAAGTTGCTCAAGCCAGAGACATTCGCAATGATCAGCGAGGTGTTCCTGGCGGCCAGGCGCCGGTCCACCTTGTCCAGCTCGAGGAGCCAAATCGCCGGCACAATGCTGCTCAGGTAAAGGAACACCGAGGGGCAGAACCTGCGGACGGAGGATACCACACAAATGAGGTTGCACGGGTGGAAAAGCCAAAACAAACAACAAGTCTGGGTGATGCGACAAAAGGTAAACAAGAATCGAAAGACACTCCTCCATCTCCTCAAACCAAACCAAACCCACCCGCTCCACACGAAATTCCATTAAAGTTTTTACTATTACAGCGCTTGGGGTGGACAGCCTGCACTCGAAATAAAACTAAACATTTTGTGATTCAAATTCAATTGAGAACTTCTAACTAAAATTAAGGTTAAAGACTTAAACTTAAAAAATATAATTAAACTATGTTTCTAAACAAAAATAAATGAATTTTTAACTTTTGTAAATTGCAATAATATTCGTTTTTAATCGTAAATATTATATGATGTAATAAATATAAATCTAAGCCCCATTAGAATTCCAAAAATGTATTTAGCTTTTCAAAATCAATAACTATTTAAGAGTTATCTTGCATTTAGATTAAAACATTTCCCATATATAATATAAGAACCAATCTTTTTTAAATTCCTTAAATAAACTCCCTTTTTTTCGAGTGTGGAGGAGTGGCAGCAGAGTTTGTGGGCTTCGTGGGAGTGTGGGTGGTATGGTTAGCCACACATTAAACACATGATTTCACTTTTAATTGAAAATCAAAGCTCGCTGGTTGACGTCAGCGTCAGCGATTGTTGTTTACATTCCGGGAAACGGGATAAATCAAATAGGGACTTCACAGGTCTTTCCTTACCAGCGCCACTCCTGCGTCTTCTTGATCATAATGGTGAAGATGCCCTCCAGGAGCAGCAGCAACAATGGTCCACATAGTGTCCAGTACTTATGATCCTCCTTGATAATGACCAAATGCCAAATGGCCAGGAGGCTGTGAGCACTGAAGATGATCCTCGTGAGGATAGCCTTGATCGTGGAGATTATCTTGGCCATGGCTGCAATGACATAATCCTGCAAGCGAGTCAGCCACCCAGGACTAAGGACACCGAATCAAACCGAACCGAACTGAACCGCACACGGTGGAAAGCCAAACGCAACTGAGTTGACTGACTGAGCAGGATTCGCTGGGCCCCCAAATGCTTTCATTAGATGTTTAAACGCTTTTTAAGAAATTAAGGACACCGCAGCGAATGGCGCGTAATTGGTGAATGGCGCAGTCGACCGACCCGGTATCCCCGTGCGCGTGCAGGATGAGTGTTTGCTTCGCCTTCGCCGAATCATCTTCGGCGAGTACCAGGAGCGAATTCTATATCCATATCTTCTAAACCTATAAATACTTAGGAGTATAATATAAATTTGAAGGAAGGTACGGAAATTAAAGAACAATAATTAAGTAACAAGTAAGAAGGATTTTAATACATTTTTCATTTATATTTGTAAATATTCCTTCGCCATTTTTACTGGATTTCCGATTACAAAAATTGACCTTCGGTAATGCTAAATATTTATAATTTAATATAGAAACTTAGATTTTTAATATATCTTATCTCTAACCGCACCACGCTCCTAGTAATGACATCTCAAACGAAATCGAAGCCATGCGTGTTATACTTATGTGTACCTAGAAATCACACGACCGTTAAATGCTAGCGTAGATTGAAGGAACCCGGGATTAGGTCTTGGGTTGGGGCCAACCACAAATGGTCACAAATGCAGTGCAAACAAATCGCAGGAGTGAAAGTCGCCGAGCCTTGGCCATCAAAATCGCGGTAATGTAGCTGCATGGCATGGCATGGCAAGTTATAGTCATCGTAAAACCCACTCCCCCGTAAAGAAACACATAGCCGATGTTGACGCCTATGTGGGCGGAGATGGGTCAATGTTTTTGGCACACGTGAAGTCATTGAACAGGATGATGATGGTCGCGGTCTGGGTCTCTGTGCTTACTAGACATGCTACCTGTTGATTGGAACAAAGAAAGTTAACAAGTAACTGAGTAACTGACTGAATTCACCTAAAGGTGAATATAGTTAATGAATTAATTAGTTATCTTTAGCTTATAATAATTATTTGTTGTTAGATACAGCGAAATTTTAAGAGCATACTCCCTTTTGAAAGTTTTAATTCCAGCAAAGTTTTGGAAACTTATTCAATCAATTTTACAAAAACTTGAGAGGAGCACCGTTTCTGTTGGATTCCTTAATTCTAAATGGCTTAAATATAATTTATATATAAGCCTGAAATATGTATGCTTATCCTTACCTAAGAAATATGACTTGCTATAGATTATTCATTGAAATGTTACATTTATTGCTTTGAATGACACATGAGTCTGGAAATCGGGAACTCAACCCCGATTGTTGCTCCGCCTCAAGACCCTGACAAGGCGCCGGTTGCGTAGACGCCTTGATCTACTCCTGGTACTGGCGGTGGTGCTCCTGTAGATCCTGTACCTGCGCGTCACCGAATAATTTAGATTGGAGATCCGGAAACGCTTCCTCTTAACACTCGAGGAGGAGGAGGAGGCTGTCGTAGTTGTTGTCGTTGCTGTGGCCGCCGTTGTTGTTGTCGTTGTCGTCGTGGCGGCCTCTGTAGACGTCGTGCTACTGGCCGCATTGGCCACCCACATGCATATGCTTAGTGTGAGGAAACCCAGTGCCAGTTTTCCTGCCTTCATCTTGCTTTGGATGCTGCTGATCTGCTGCCTGGCCCACCGGCGGCTGGGAGTTTTTATATGTGCCCAAGACAATCGGTTCCGCAAATATGTATTTTCCTTACGCTCTCACCAATTACGTCTGCGCAAAATTTTTTGGCTATATTTGCACAGTTTGGTAACAGAACAAAAGAACAAGCTGGAATTTCGCACAAGCCATTAAATTAGATATTAAATACTCGGTTTTATTTTTACGACCCTCGTTCTAAAATTAATCACAAGATACACTTGAAAGAAATTAGGGGTCACTTTCTACTTTGTACCAATAGGGAAATGCCTTTGAAAATACTTTAATAATTCCTTTCATATCTTTCCACTTAAATTAATTGAGACACATAGGACAGTATTCTGAAAAGGAAAAGGAAAAACAGGAGTGCAAGTTGATCTTAAAGTTAAGTTTTTAAGAGTGTATATTAAGGGTATCCTCCTGGACAAATAACCCTGAAACCGAACGGGATTTGGTTCCCGCCTGGCTGCATGTTGGCACATAAAACACTGCATAATCAAATATTTGCGTGGTTCCAACTCGACTCTCCGACTCGATTCCGCTGCTTATTTGCCAGGCATCGAGGAGGACTGGCGGTGACATGTACTGGTCCTGGCACTGACACCGATACTGACGCCGCTGGGTTGCGTGGTTAGCACGGCCTCCCGCTGAGATTTACCTAAGTTGCCCCGTCCGGACCTCCTATAAAAGTGCGCGGCTTGACCGACTATCGTTCATTCGCAAGTCCCTGCTGCAGGTGTCCCGTGCTCTGTTCCCGCTGCTGCTGCACCCTAGTGCTTCTCAGACAAATGGCTCGCCTCACTTTCGCCCTGGTCCTGGTGTTTTTGGCCATCTTCTCCCGGTGCGGATCCTCCGGAGCCCTGGCCATGCCCGATGAGGAGCGGTATGTGCGCAAGGAGTATAGCCGCGACCTGCTGGACTGGTTTAACACTATAGGACAGTTCACGCCTGGACAATTGGCCACAATCTGTCGGTATCCGCTGATCCTGGAGAACTCCTTGGGCGAACCGATACCAATCAGAAAGCGCAACTCGGAGCTCATCAACTCGCTGCTGAGTCTCCCCAAGAACATGAACGATGCTGGCAAGTAGACAGGCTGGATAAGGAATAATGGATTCGATGACTGAAGTGGAATGGAGTTAGCTTTGGACCCCTGGAACCCGGATTATTATTATTATTATTTATTGTTACACGTTTTGTTGGTGCGTTGAGGAATGAGATTGAGAATGAGAAATCCATAGGAATGAGCAGTTGGTATAGCCATGTAATTGAGAGCAAAGACAGTATGAATTTGTTGCTTTAAAAGTTCTATAAAAAATATACAAATAGCAAATCTATGAAATTGTGTATTTTGATTCGATCCTGAGGACAATTTCGATTCTAATCCCATTTTTCATACATTTTCATTCATAGTTTCATAAATATTTTTTCATTGTGAAGTATTTACTCTGCATAGCCTCATAGAACAGTTGTTTCCTTGAACTTGACAACGAAGCTGAAAATAAGCTACTCAAATATTGAAGTTTTTGTCTAGAAAGTAGATAAATTTCCCCCACTAAAAGCTTAAAGTTAAAAAAATATAGATTTCATTAAGCATTTTTATTTTTCATTAAATCCTTTTTAGCCAGATTTTTTCACACGGATCCTTCGCACGATTTTGTAGTGAATATTGCGGGCCGTAAAATGCTTCCTGTGCACAGTACTAGGCGTGGCAGTTGTTGTGGTCGTGGTGGTACTGGCCTCCGTGGTTGTAGTGTTAGTCTGGGCAGAGGTTGGCTGCAGCAGGAAAAATCCGACGAACAGGACAACTGCCAATAGATAGGTTGCTAGCTTCATTGTTCTTGGCTTAAACAAAAGTGACTGTTTTCCTCAGGCCTTCAGGGCGCCTTTATATATCCGAATTCTCCCTAAACTTTAATGGAAAGTACCCAGACCGAGATGGTAAGTAAATAGGAGAAAACAATGAGAAATCCGCAAAACAAATTTTGCACAAAAAACAAGACTTTGTTTTCGTTTCGTGTTTACCCCACCGACAAAAACAACGTGTTGTAGGCTTCGTTTAGATGACGGCAATATATATTTTCCCTTATAAGATAGACAACTATGTTAATCAAGGTTGCTTATTTATATTAAAAATCGAACAATTCTTCACTTGTTTAATGGGTAAGTTCATTTGGCGCTGGTTGAAATCGGTAAGAGTTTGTATAGAAAACGTTATGCGTATGCCTTGTCTGATTAAGCCCAAAACTTTGCGTTTTTGAATGTAAATGAAAACGTTTGACAAGCGAATTGTTAGTAACGACTACGTACAATCAAGATGTATACAATTTTCGATTATAAATCAATTAATTCTCGCTGGAACAATGGTAACATATGCGAATGTGTGTATATGTTGATGCTTGCCTCGGCTCAAAATGCAGTTTCGGTAGCTTTCACTTACATAACTACATACTAAGCGCCAATGCGCCGGCGCTGCCTGATAATGCATAAATACTAACTAACTGGCCGTACCCTGCCTTGGCTAATCATTAACGGCTAATCTAGCATATCGTACGTGGCTGCAGCGGAGACGGTGTGCTCCCAGCACACCGCTGACTAAGTCGCATGCCCCGGAACACGCTCTGGCCGCTGCGCCGCCAAGCTGCAATGAACACGGATATTCGTAAGGCTATTATCTCAAAGCAGGATCTCTACGCTACTCACATATATGGTTATATGTTATAAAGCTTTAGCTGATTCTACAGCTTTGTTGTTTTTTTCTTCTTAACTTTTTGGAAACACACACAATGGCGCTGACTTTTGCTTGATATTTGCTGAAACGCACTCCTCCCTCATCCTTATGCTCCTCCTGTTGATGCGACTGTGGCTGGTTGATCTCACATGAAAAACTCGTTGGCCGAATGGGAGAGCGGAAGTCACGTTCGCCCCGGACGGTCGAATATTGTAATCTCTATGACGCGAAGACCCCGATATGTCGGATCGATCAGCTGCAGGCCCTTGGGATTGTAAATGCGTTCGTTTTGGGAAGCCACAAATTTGGATATCTTGCGAAGGGTCTGTGCGAGATTGAAGATTAAAATTAATTGAGGAATTAAATATTAAGTGGAGGTCAAAATAATAGCGGTAAATATTCAAGAAGCTCTAAGGTCTTATGTTGCCAAGACACAACCTTCAGTACAGTACAAAAGTACAAAGATATCTTTAACGTTGTTGTTCGATTAAAGGTCAACGACTTTTGGGTACTGATATTAACGCATACATTTTAACGTGTTGAATTTGTGACAAATTAAGAACCTTGTAGAAGGAGCTATTACTTCGACCGCACTTTTAGGTATTCACAAGGATGACGCACCTTTTCGTAGTGCGTTTCGGAGCACATGTAGATCAAGTAGGCTGTGATGCAGCCAATACAGCCCTCGCAGTAGGTGCCGCAGGATCCCTCCTCCGCCTCGGCGTAGAACTCATTTAGCCTGTTAATGGTGGCCTCGAAGACGTGTCGCTCGATCTGTGGTCAAGGAATCGAAGCCATAATTAAGAATGAGAAGAAAACTTTAGGGGAGTTTGTAGACTTACCATGCCGTCCAGCTCCGCAGGTAACCGTGTGTGGAACTTTACGGAGGTGCCCTCGCTGTAATCGCGCTGTATGAAGACCTTGCTGAAGACCACGCCCCCGCCAACGCCCTGGAGCGCCGTGGGATTGCCGCCCGCCGGAGTGCCACTGCCGCCGCCGCCCTGGGACATGATGTCTCTGAAAAAACCCATCGCCGCGTGAATAACCTCGCTCTGCAGCGCCCGATGCACTTGGTTGAGGGCGATCATTGCGACGGCAGGGTGGAGTGCCTGCTGGCGCCTCACAACTACTGGGCAGCTGGCCTTGCCTTTTCCAGCACAGCCCCAAAAACGGAGTGACTGGACTATGGAAAATTGGCATGGCCTGCTCCTGCACTTACCTGATTAGCTTGGAGTAGAGAAACCTTGGGTGGCCTGGAAGTGCCTGGAGTCGCTCTTTTATTGCTGTAACTTGATAAAAAGACAAATGTTTTCAATTGTTGCTAATATATTGCAGGTTTTCAACAGTGAGACCGCGCGATAAACACTGAAAGATACCACACTTTGAATATACTGAAGAAAATACTCTTTTAAAAATACGGTTAAATAGAAAACTTAGACAAATTTTTGTCTTTGAAAATATTTAATTCTTATCTTTATCTTTTGTTGTTTCTTTTTGGTATTTAATATTTTTATTTTATTTGTTTTAATAATCTGGTTGGTCAAATCTTTCAATAAGACCACATATTTAAAATACTGAATAAAAAACCGATTGAAAAAATACCATTACAATCGTTTTGTTATCGTATTTTTAAATTTGCAGCGTTGCCACATTGTCAGAAAGGGAACAGCGCACGTTACTTTTAATTTTTTTACTTTTTTTTTTTTTTAATCCGTAAAATTGTTTACTGAGCTATTGGGCAAAATTTAAGCCCAAATATGTAAGCAATGCAAATTAGATTACGTACATTGCTCCTGCTGACGCCGGCGCGTTGAGATTTGAAAACAATTTACCAACTCGAACGCATACGCATTGGAGTAGGAAATATTTGCACAGCTTGGCCTCTTGTTTCACTCCGCTGGAGAATGCCTCTTTATACGTGTATTTGTTCAGTGGCTTTTCTCTATTAGCAACCTGCTGACGGTCATATCTCAGTGTCTTTTCAAAGCTCAACCATGAACGCAGCCTTAGATCTCAGCCCCTGGGGATGGATATTTCCGCTGTGCTTGGGCTTTATGTCCTCCTGTCAGGCGGTTCCCATTGTCGGAGGCAGGATCGTGTCAACCGTGGGCAGTACATCTTGTACTAAAGAGCCATTAACACTAACTAAAAATCCATTTTAAAGGTAGCCCTATTAAATATCCGTTCATGGTCTCACTGCAAGACGTGATTAGGGGAAATGGCACAAGAGGATTTTCGTATCGGCATTTCTGCGGCGGTAGCCTGATCAGCGATCGCTGGATCCTGTCCGCAGCTCACTGTGTCTGGAGAAAGTAAGTGCTGTGAAGCTATGGGAACACTCTAATGACTGGTTACTATCTATGTTTAGGAACATTCACAATATCGCAGCGTTTATTGGCTATGAAGATATCGAAAACATAGGCCAGCTCGAACCATATGGTCTGGAAAGCGCCGAGTATATTTACTTCCAGCCGTGAGTAATCAAGTCAAGTTTAATACTCCCAAAAATAAAGAGAGAATACGCGATCAATGTCAAATGATAGAAAGAACTTTAAGTTTTAATTTAATCTTCTTTATAATAATTTCGGATTTTTGATAAGTCTTTCTTTAATATCAAGCAGTTTCGGGCACTTAAATATATAAATTTCATTGCAGATCCAACTTTAGGAATGATATAGCTCTCTTGTATATGAAACGGCGTTATTGGAGCTATCTCCGCCGGGACCTGCAATTCGCTCAACTGCCGCCACAGGGAATGCAACAAGATCGGAATGGTATATCGCAGCACTAACAAACTAAAAACGCTTTACCAATATGTTCTGACTCCATCAGAATCTTGCCGAATTATTGGCTACGGCGCCACTCGTCATGCAGGACCTTCGCAGAAGCAACTTTTTGAGGCCGAAGTTCGGGTGATTGGCAACCAGAAATGCCGGGATATCATAGGACATATCTGGGCCCCGCAGAACGGAGCGAGTACGGTGTGTGCCCTGGGCAATAATCAGGACTCTTGTCAGGGCGATTCTGGGTGAGTTTATTAATTTTATCTTTATCAATTTTAATTAATTAATTCGCTTTAGAGGTCCTTTGATCTGCCCGTATGGCGGCAGGGACTATATTTACGGCCTTGTGTCCCATGGTCTCACTTGCGGCATTCAGGGCATGCCCAGCATCTATACGGTGACCCGACCCTACTACGATTGGGTGCAGCTGCTCATGCAGTCCTAGATCTCTGGCGATCACGTATAAATAGTCGACTTTTTATGCGATATCAAACAGAAAAACAGTTATCAATATATACTTAAATAATGCAGGAATAGCACGGACTAACAACGAACTTAGAGGCTAGAGTACTGCAGGTTACAATATATCTAAAGTTAACACTAGACTAACTATGCAACCATTTTCACGACTTGATTGATCCAAAGTTTTGACTTGTTTTTTTTTTTACAGAGTCTTATAAACTTATTAATCTTTAAACTTTGTTAAAAATATGAGGATTAATCTGATTATAAAGATTCAGTACATAAAATCGAGGCTCTTGGAACTACCGATAAATCAAGTCGTGAAAATGGTATTTAACCTAGATTCGAGGGAGCCTTTTTTCATCACTTCTTTTCGGCCTCCTCCGCCGGAACGGTGGCTGGGGTATCCTCCACTTTGTCGGACAGCTTGCCCGTTCCAGTCTCCGGAAGCGTGAGGGTCAACAGGCCAGCTACTAGAACGCAGCAGCCGCAGATCGTGGTTGGAATGTACCACCCAAGGGCTCCCAGGATGTCGACCACAAATGGGGCCGAAATGGAGCCAACGTGGGCGAAGGTCGAGCAGGTTCCCAGCGCAGAGTTACGGATCTCGGTAGGGTAGAGCTCCGCGGTATACAGCGTAACCACAGAGTAGGTGGCACTGATACCAAAGCGTCCCAACATAGCAAAAGCCACAACCCAGGTGGTGTTGCCGGCGGGAACGGCTAGAACTAGCAGCAAGGACACGCCCGTCCAGAGGAACAGGAACATGGTTGTGATGCGACGACCCGTGAAACGGAGCATGATCACCGGCACCAGGTACGAGGGTATGTCCACCAGGCCTGTGCCTATGATGTAGAGGTACCGTGACACTGACATGTTGGCGGCATTCAGAGCTGGAGGAAATCAGTTGTATCGGAATTAGAATAAGTTTTCCCGTTTGTAATAATTAATTAGCTACAAAGTGGAACTCTGATTACTACTCACCCGTCACGTAGTAACTCAGCGAGGTGACGCAGAACATGAAGTACGAGGTGAAGATCAGCTTGCGCACGTTGGGATTGGCGAATAGCTCAATGATGGACTTCAGGGGACCATTCTTAAGTCTCTCACCCAGCGAGAAACTTCCCTGCGGCTCCAGCTGCAGTGGTAAAATATGCGTAATTAATGAACTCCCAGCCTGGCAACCAAACATAAATGTTCCTAGAACTTTGCACTCACCGACTTCTTATCGGTGACGACGGGAGCGACGGCTGCAGCCACAGGCTGGACTTGGTAATGACTGGGCTGTCTGAAAAGTATCTTGTAGACGCGATCATATCGCCGGTTTGTGATCAGCCAGCGGGGTGACTCATTCATCAGGCTAAAGAAAAATTTACATTTAAGGATCGGGATCAGATGGTTTGACAAAACTCCACTTACTAGCAGTTCAATAAAAGCAATAGAGAAGGAATAGTCAGAGCCAATTGCAGATGTCGCCATGGCTGAATGAAGTAGCCAATGATCGCCAGGATGATCATGCCCACGGGATAGGAAGCAGAAAAAGCTATCGACATCCATGAGCGATGCTTCAGGCAAATGTTTTCCACAACTAAATATAAATAAGATTAAAAATAATATACTAATAAATAACTCTTAAGCTTATAGTTCAGTTTAAGGACTTACTCATTGTAAAGGCAGGATAGAAGAGTCCTGAAGAAGCCGCTCCAAGGGCAAAACGTCCAGCCAGGAAGAGACTGTACCAGGGGGAGAAGGTGCAAAAGAAACTGCCCACGATGAAGAAGAGAGCACCCAGACTAAACGAAGTTTTCCGGCCGAATCTACAAGGATAAACATAAGAAGTCATTTGTAGAAGTTCGAGGGATCTTACAACTCACTTATCCGCCAAAATGCCAAAGGTAAAGGAGCCGCAGAACTTGCCCAGCGATATGGACACCTGGGCAGAAGTACGCTGGATGCTCTGCTCGCAGGTGAGATCCCAGTCGGAGACGAATGTGCTCTCCGGATTGGAGTACTCGTAGTGGCCCTTCACCTTGCAGGACACCTCCGCTGGCTGAGCGCTCTCCATATTATGGCTGGTGTAGTTGAGGGCCGCCTCGTAGGACATCTTGGCCAAATGCTGATAGTTCCAGTCCCACACCGTGCATCCACCGGAATCCAGGCCATGAGCCGCTATCTCCCGCTTCTGGGCCAGTGTCCAGTTGGTGTCCTGCAGGTCGGGGATGCCGCACCACTGATCGTCAGGCAGGTGACCCAGCAGCGTGTAGGAGGACACATGGAAGCCGTTAAGTATGTTGGGAGTGACGCATAGGAAGAAGATGGCCCTGGGAAGGGGGAAATAGTTGTAATAAGTTATTAGCCAGTTGAGTTGCTAATTGGGTTTTTGTTTTCGCAGATACTGTATCTCGCATCCGGACAAATTGTTTACAACACGCAAGTCCCAATCGTTCGCACATTGACACCGCTTGGCTAACTGCTTTCTGCCTTTGGGAATGCAAATAATAACACCGATCAAAACATTGGTGTAAAAACAAAGCTACGAAGGTTGCCGATAGGGGCAACGGGCGACAGATTCGGCCGGATTATGTACGCCGCTCACATAATCACTTAATGGCAGTTAAAGATTCGCAGAGAGCAGCATACGCCGTCGTCGTTAATCATTAAACAAATCGGGCAACCGGAACGCAGTGCGCAATATTTACATATCCGACTTTTTCACGTGACTCCCCCAACCCCAAACACGTAGAGTTCCGCGAAAAAGTTCGTCAAAATTCAAGTCATTCCCGCACCACACACACTCTGTGTATAACCGCGTTTTGAGGACTTCCTCCGGTGTGACTCAGTTGAACGACTTCCAGGGCACTTGTCCTCCAATGCGAGATTGAAGATAGTGCCCATATAGGATCCATTACACGGTCGATCCCCATCCCGATCATGATCTGGGTAATGGAACCGGTACTCGCGATCCCACATCGCCCGATTTCAATTCACAAGCTGCTTATCAGCTCCGATTGAGCGTAATGGAAATGTATTGCTGATATGCCCAGATTTCCAGTCTATATTTAAATCGCGTTTCAAGCCTGACCATTGCCCTGTGATCGGAACCCGGCCGCAGGGATGATTCCCCGCGATCCGGGACTAAAATTACCACCAGGAAGCCCCACGTGCTGTTCAGCCTCGCCTTATCGGAAGCGGATAAAAAAGCTAATTCGTTTTAGCTTGAAACTATGTGAATAGTTCGTGGCTTACTAAGTGGGTTCTTTAACAAATCAAGAGTTTAGTCAAGCGAAAAAAACCAATTAAAACTGTTTCAACGCAATCGCAACTGCCGGCGCCGCCTGACTAATGTCAACAACAATTTCCAAAGACTCAACCTTTAGAGGCCCGTGCACTGCATTCACTATGATGTGGGTCAAGTGGAACGTGATTCGAGCCGAGCTAAAAAGGTGCTTCCTCGACTTTTCGCGCATTATGGCAGAAATATGATTCCTTCTATGTGCTCCATAAAGTATCGTTCAAAAGTGAGATCACAAACAGAATTAATGTAGATCAGGGACCAGTTTTTGTAAACAAAAAAGAAAAACCACGACTCTTTCCCAAACGATTTAAATAACATAATTAGTTTGTGAGTTTAAATGAATTAATTCTAGTCAGAACTGGTTAACACTTAATGTCTATAATTTATAGCTAGGAACTGTTTACAAAATCACAGACAACTACTATTACGATTCGACCTTTAATGATCATACTTTTCTCTGATTATAATCAGATAATTATCATAACACAACCAAGCCCTACCTAATCAAAGTGATTGCTTTTTTAGAAATAAATAAATTTAATAACCTTTTTAAATTGTTCTAAATTAAAACGATACTTTCTTTTCTTGGAAACAAAAGATTATGAATTAACAAAAGTTCTAAAAATGTAAGATAGAAAATGAAAATTATAAAGAAAAGCAATTAAAATTATTAATTAAAGAATTTCATTGTAAAATAAACTCAAATTATATTTAAATTTACTTTTCTAAATTTACTTGTATTTTTTTAAGTATGCCACTGCTTTTTTTATCAGTTAAAATATTTATCTTTCAACAAACCTAAAAGTATCGTAAATATTTCCTTTTTAATAAAATCCTACACCTTTAATTTATTCCTTGTATTTCATCTCAGTGCATCTACTTACCAGACATATGCCCCGCCACTGCCCACGATCTCCAGCTGCTTGGTTAGCAGATCCTTCATGCTGTCCTCGCTGATGAGCTCGCGGCTCTTCTCCGGGTTGTCCTTCGACTGGGTCATGTTTGCGAGTGCAATATCACAGCTACAGCGGATTTTGAAAGCAAGCTTCCGATAATGAAGGCGATGCTGCGATCGTATCTGACGGATTGCCGGGGGGAGATTCGGTTCGGTTCTGACACTGAACTTGGATTCCTTTGCCCGCCAATCTATTTTCGTTCTCTGTGCAGCCAAAAAAGCTCTGCGGTTTGGGATTCAAATCGGGCTTAGGCACCTAAAACGGGGCTTCTGGGACCGCGAGGAGTGCATTCACTCCGTGTGGAGCAGATAAGGCACGGCGGCGCTAGCGACGATCGCTCGATATATTTTGCCGCTGATATATGTCGTCGTTCCTCGACTATATTTCACTTTCACTTCGCCCAATGCCGCTGATCGACGCGACGGCAGGTCGCTGTAATATTTTCGGCGCTGCTGGGATGTGTTTACCTATCGACGGGTTCTACTCTCCCATTTCTTGATGTTTTTTCAATTGTTAATGCAGCGCAGCACATGGGAGCGCTTCGGTTTGACATACGCGACACGTTTTTTTTTTCGTGGTTCCTCTTGTTTTCAGCATTCGCCTGTTGTTGTTTTTTTTTTTTAAAGTATCCCTCAAGTCAAAATAAACATGAAAATAAATGAAATATTTTCGGGGCTGTTTGAGGTTTGCCTCTCCCTCACTTTTTTCCTAATATTATTTTTATTTTTTTTATTTATTAATTTTTTGGTTGCAACGCGTGTTGCAGTTGCTGCGTTTGGTGCTGTCCGACGGTGCTATCCGCCGATGTTGCTATCAACTACTTGTCGCTTCGGAAGCGTCTCACAAACTAAGCCCACGGGAGGCCGATCGCGTCGTTTTGTACGCGCTTCCATTGGGAGCGGATGGGGGATCTGGGGGACTTGGTCGGGGGCGGTACTAACATCGTACTCGGTCAGTGCCTCAGTCCCAGTGGCAGTGCCGCTGCTATCCGTGATTCACTCGGGATCGCTCGGCTCTCCTCCCGATCCAAATACTCGAGCACATTATGTTGTGTTCTTTTTGGATTCGAGTGCAAGCATTAGCAATAAAATAAAAAATTAAATTCAGTCATAGAGCGTCTGAAGAGAGATGCCTATGGCGAATGTCAAGCCAAAAAGTGCGCACTCTACGAATGGCCAGGGAAAGCTCTGATTTTATGAGTATGCTCCACGTAATTGAATCATTTGAAAGCAGAACAATTACGAAATATTTTTGTATTGTTATCGAAGCAGCTGTCGTTTTATTTTCAAAATTAGTACGCGAAAAAAATAAAGTATATTTAATGGGTTCGCTTATATATAAGCTGATTAGCTTTCCAGCACAAAATTGAGTTTGGGGTGAGCTCTACTTAACATGTAGATATTAACTAGATTGTATTATTTGTAATTCCGAAAAAATAAATGCATTCTTAAATTACCTTTCAGTCAAAATCCAAGCAGAGATGGTAAACAAAAATTTATTTTTAAAACAAAGAACGCATTCCAAATATTCGATCATTGGTTTTTTTATTAGAACAAAGGCTGGAAATACATTTAAATAAATATTCCCTTATTGTCGAGTATCGGGAATATGACATTTAACTGAACCTAAGGACAGGAAATGGAATACACAGTGACGTTTCTACAACTGTTATATTAAAAAGTAGTCTTTGTTATGTAAACAGAGCTTCTTATTAAAAAAAAAAACCTTCCTAGCTCCTAATATACATCAATTTAAAGTAATCCAACTTATAATACTGATGGAAAATGGTCCGTTTACTGTTTTACGAAACCCAATAAATAAATTCAATTTAAATTTCCATATGCACATATGTCCCCTAGAAAGCACCCTAAATTTTTTGTATTTATTACAGTAAAGTACCAATAGTGTGGTCTCCGCTGCTCATTACAAATGCGTCAGGCAACAAGAAGACATTTAAATACACTCCCGATCGGACGAACACTTGAACATATGGTACCCGCTCTCTACTCAATCCCTTACATTCCATTACACTCACGCTCCCTGGTATGAGACTACCCGAACCCCGTGATATATTTACATTAACAGGCCGCTTAATTCTGTTGTCTCTGTATTTCATTACGAATCCCCATTTCCCAGTCGCTTTGGTGATATCCGAGAGTCGGTGGGTATTGTTTACATTTTTATTTTCGAGTTGCGCCGTTCGAAATTCCCAAAGACCGATCGAGAGGAGAGCGTGTTTCTGAATGGGCAACAGTTGTTTTCTATATACAATGTTGAAAAACTGCCGCCTCATATTGTGATGTTCTCGCCGGCAGCTGATTTGTGAATGAATGAATCTGGGAATCTTCAGAGTTTACACCATATTATATCCAACTCGAACCAGAACTCTGCAGCCGGACGATCGAAATCGAACCAGATTTCTACGCAGTGACCTTATCGTCTGATTCGATTAGGGTTAACCTCTGTTATCGGCGAACATCGAGGGTCCTCCTCGGGCCTGGCTAAGATCAATTGAACTCAATGATGCTTGATTGATTAATCGACGTAAGCAGTAACCCTGCGGGTAAAGATAGATATAGGCTGACCTTGGGCAGTTTATGGGCTGTGATTGTTGTGGGCTATATTCCGCATATGCCAATTATGGTTTTCTCTGTTACCGCATTCTAATTCGTGATTGTTCAACTCTATATAGTAAATGTATTCAGTTCCCAGGCCTGCAACCCATCCTGCTCATTCTATTCATCTGTGAAATTCGCACTGAGGCAGTACCAACGGTTTTAGCCACTCGGTTTAAGCCGTAATTAGAGCTCTATGTTCAGCTCGCATGTTGTGATGCACATGGGTGTGCCTTCTATTAGCAATTCGATTGTCGCCGGTTTTCTGGGTTGGTCCCTCGAATTATTTTGATTCAACTACAGCCTTTGTTTTGGGAACGCACGTGCAGTATCTAACGGTTGTGTAGTATAATATATTATTTTATAAATGTTCCTACGAAAAGTATTATTTCTGGATGTGCCAGTTTCCTTTCAACTGGACAGCCCAACGAGTGATAATCTAATAATAAGCACCTCATTTACATAATCGCTTAAAGTTCTTTATAATGTGATAAGGCTTTGTCAAAAGGTGATTTATATAAAATGGCACTTTATGCAGATGTCAAGCCCAATTCAAAAATAGTTTAGCGAAAAGTGCACAGGAAAAAATATAAATAGTAAAGTAGGAAATAAATATATAAACTTGCCAAGTGCCAAAGGTTAACTATTATCAACATAACTATCTAAAGAATACCCTAACTGATCAGACTTTAATAATTACCCTCTTTTATTTATATCATATTTTAAGATATGTATTCATTATTTTCCTGCAAGTTTAAGTTTTTGGTCTTTATTATAGTCCCTCTTAATTGTGCAATCAAATTCCTCTCGATACCTTACCCCACACTGTAGTGGAAATACCTCTTAAATAATAATTCAAATTTATAAAGACAGCACAATTTAGCTGCTGGCCAGGCGTTGGCGAAACTTAAGTGAATGATTGCCGACGAAACGAGCTGGGAATTGTGCTCGAATTCGTACAAATCCAGGCGTTGCTAAACTCACTAAATTCAATGAGAGCGCATTTAAGACGAAACACTCGACCGAAAGTGAGACTAAGCCACAGACTAAGCCGCATGCTAAGCCGCAGTCTAAGCCCCAAACTAAACCCGAGTCAAAGGCCTAGACTGAGGCGTGGGTGACAAGGTCAAGAGGAGACTTTAATTTCTAAAGGCACAGACGTTTTTATCATCTAGGACAGCCTTTCATAGCCAAAGTTGAGCAGGCAGGTGATTCCAACCACGAAGCCGCCGTAAAAGGTGACGTTGTAGAGATTAAGCCGGCTGAGCAGTCCCCTGAAACGTCCGGTGCCATTTTCTTCTAGGAGGGCCTTCGTTCGTGCTTCGATCATGTCCTTCCAGCTGACCACCTGGGGCCTCACCACAAACAGAGCATTCACCGCTGCCCGGACGCCACTCTCCACAGCTCCGCCGATAAGGCTGCGGTAGGTTGTGCCCACGGCCGAGGAGCTGGACCAGATGATACGGAGCCAGGGCTTCACCAGCGGTTTGTGCAGCGCCACGTTGAGCTCGTCGGTGAAGCAACTGCACTCCAGAGGTTGTCGCATCTCCTCGCCAAACTGTTCGGCCAGATGCTCAAGCACCTCGCCCATTACATCCTCCTCGTCCTCTGACAAATGCAGCATGTAGCCGTTGATGGTGGACATGCCGCACTCGTGGGCACTGATTAGCGGTCGGGAGCTGAGAAAGTTTCCGGAATAGCCCAGCTCGGTCCAATGGGACTTGTCATATCGCAGCTGGAACTGGCTGATTCGGCGACGCTGCCTCTTTCCAGCTGTGGAGGCCACCGGTGGCAGAAAGGCCTTCGGAATGGGGGGAGCGAACTGGAGCTTCTGAATCTTGTTCCAGGGTATTGCCAGGATCACGGCCTGGGCCGTATACTTAGTGCCCTCCGCATCCGTGACCTCCACGTAGTTCCTCCAGTGCTCCAATTTCACGGCTCGGCAGTTGAGGGAGATGGCGGTGAACGGGATCTGATCCAGTATCTTATCGATCAGCGTCTGAGTGGAGACCTCGTAGAAGCTGCTCGGATAGGTGAAGTAGCTAGGGGTGAAAGTAATATTTAATAGCTTATGAAGGGTTGATGTGTGCGCACTGTTTTGACATCCAATCAATCACACCTAATAATTCACTTTGAATGGGAAACGTAAATGAGACACGTAAACCACTATTTAAACATCCGTTACTGTTTTGTGACCCAATCAATCTTGGCTCAAGAAACACGCGCCAGATCTATTAAATATAGCTATTTGTAGATGAGCAATAAATCATTGGCTCAATCACAGTCTCATCTAAAGTCAATTCGTTTTAACCCATTTTTTACCGAAACAGATTTTTTTTTCAGGTGCGCTCTAAATTAGGAAACAAGACCCTTATTAAAGTTAATTACTAAATTATTAAAAACACGTGACAGAGTTTGAGAAAATATGGTTTCAAGGCCACAGCAAAAAAATTGAATAAAACAAGCAAATATTAAAAAATATTAATAATTCATCATGCAACCCAAACATCAAACTGGCGAAAATTCGATTTGGTTAATTAATGGTAATTTAAAACAGGAATTTTAATTAAAACGCCTACTTAATGCTCACAAAAAATATATCAGAATAATTTAAGCCTATCTGCACTGAGCTATATCCGGTAAGGTATTACTCTAAGAATAAAATAATATTATTTAGAATATTTGGCTTATATTGATAAATTATATAGAGGAAAATTGACAAAAATAGGTAAGCGATATATAAATATCGATGTTCGCGTTAAATATCCTTACAGTAGCGATATAGCAATATTTTCTATCATCCTTAATTCTAAGTTTATGAATCGAAGTAAAAGTTTAAAAAATACTACCCCTTACAAGTCAATTATCATTCTGAGACCACCGCAGGAGCTACACACGGACATGAAGACATCGTAGACCACTTCGTTGGCTGGAACGCCACAGACCACTTCCACCAGGTTGAGCATGAAATTCCGCGACTTGCCAAAAAACAAATGTTGGCAGATATGCTGCTCCATATTGGACACCCGTTCGCGGAGGCTGATTGTGATTAAATTAATAAAAAATAATTATAAAGGAAATAATACCCGCAACCCACTTGAATCGCTTTGTGCGAAACTTGTTCATCCGCAGTTCCAACATATTGATGTACCGCTCTAGCTCGAATTTGGCTGGCAGAGCTGTGAGTCCTCGGTCCAGGTCCCAGCACCTACGCAGAGATTCGTTGTCGCTACTCCGGCGCCTCGGCGACACCTCCACGCTGGCCAGATAGGCAAGCATGCCAAGCTGCTCTCTGTCCACGAATCGAATGCCATCCTCACCCAGCTGACCGCCCACAAAGTCGCTCGCCTCTATGATTCTTAGCTTCAGGGAGCTCTCCTTGGACAGGATCTTTAGGGCGGAAGCCAGACCTGAGAGGCCGGCACCCACAACGAGAACGTCTAGTTCCGGGGACTGTGGGCCAAAGGGCAAAGCCATTTAGTCCTGGAATCTACAGCATAGAGCAGCTGATATGTGTATTTATTTGACATTTTAATCACCGATAGAAAAATATGAAAACTTTGGCAAAGACGGTTTGACATGCTCGCGTACAGTTTGAGAGGTTTGAGAGGCTTGAACGAAAAAACTACGCATACTTTTAGGCTGTCGAGAAGGTAAGGAAAAAATAGATTCGGATGAACTATAGCCTAATTTTAATGTAAATCGATATGAAAACATTTAACTGGGGAATACCATCAATCAAGATGATATCTAATCAAAACAAACTTTATAGTAAAGGCTATTAAAATGTAGGTGTGATTGGGAAACCAGTGAGATATCATAACCTTTGTTATAATTACGTTCTTATTTTATTCAAAAGAGCAAGAGAAACACATTATAATATAATATAATATATAGAAAAAAACATATTGTAAATTTCAAATAAGAATCTATTGTTTCATTGCCTTTGGTTATGTTTGTATATACATTTTTTTATATTTTTCTATGAGTTTTTACAATATAAAACCAGGAATTTTATAATCGTATTTCCTTGGTGACGTATTTTGGGGTATCCAATTCCGATTCCAGATATCTGACACTTACCTTGAGTTCGCTGAACTTTCCTCACTCGCCTATAGCAAGTCATTCTGAGTTTTATTAAATATACTCCGATTTGCCCAGACGAGTCTGTTGCCATATGCGTTCTGGGCTATCAATGCCAATGCTTTGACAGTGAACTGCTATCAGTTTTATCTACGACACATAGTAATTATAAGTTGTACAAAAAATGGAAACATATGGCAGCCAGACTTCTCGCACCGAGCAAGTGCAGCCGGAGCTTGCATTCGATGAGATGGGACCGCTTTCTTATCAGTCGCGACCGTTTAGACCTAATTTTTTTTTTTCAATGAGCGAAATATTATCGCCACTGCGAGAGACTTGAGAGACGCCTCAATAAACAAAGTGGTCATAAAGTTCGTTGAATCGCAAGTGCACCCACGGACCGGGGAACAAGTCGCAGTTACTTGTATTTTATTAAAATGCTTGTAAAGGTAAACAAATAGAGGGAATGGAATGAATTGTTGTTCCCCTCGGGGAAGAGTAGATGCGCAGTATGCTTAAATTCGTTGAAATCGTCTATGGCGCAAGCCAATTGAGGCCGTCTGCCTCGATTGCAGCAAGTGGCTGTGGCTCTCTCGCGATCCGGTCTCCAATTAGCCCAACTTTACGTCGAGCATCCCCCTCAGCTCCTGGGTGGCACTCTCTCCCTCCTCAGCGGAATCCTCTGGCGCCGTCTTCTTGCCGAAGTTCTCCCCATCCTCGATGGTCTCGGGCATAGGCTTGTTCAGGGTCTCCGGCAGCAGCAGGGACATCAGTCCGGCGGTGAGGGACAAAGCACCGCAGATGATTAGGGGAAGAGGTCGCCAGATCTCGCCCAGCAGCTTGAGGTAGGGCGCCAGGATGCCGCCCACACGGGCCACCATGGACGAGGCGCCCAGACCCACATTACGCACCACTGTCGGAAACTGCTCCGCCGAGAATATGTATATGGTTCCGTAGGAGGAGGTGATGGCCAGCTTGCCTATCATGGCGCAGGCAATGATCAGCCAGTTCATGTCGCTGGGCACAAAGATGGTGGCCAGCAGACTAACACCGGCCACCATCATGGTACCGCACAAGATCGAGCGGCGACCCCAGCGGTTGAGGGTGAAGAGGAGCAGCACGTAGCCGGGAATCTCCACGGCACCGGAGATCATGAAGTTAATGAGTTGGTTTCCCCCCAGGTTGTTGGTGTTCCACGAGAGGCCGTAGTAGACGCCGCTGTTTACGAACCAATCGAAGAAGATCAGCAGGGTCTTCCGGCGAAGATTGGGGTATCGGAGGAGATCAAACACCGTTGCCGCCGGTTGGGAAGCTGTCAGTTCATCTTGTTTCTTCTTCTCGGCCACCTCGTCCACCAGCTGCTCATAGATCTCGCTGGGTATCTCGACCCGGTTCTCCTTGGCTGCCTTTTTGATGATCACGAATGCCTCATCTTTGCGACCCTTTAGTAGCAGCCAGCGGGCAGACTCCGGAATGATCCAGTAGTAGCAGATGAAGAGGAGCCCTGGCAAAGTCAGAGCGATCTGCAGCCAGCGCCAGTCGTGGATAAAGTAGGCGAAGCCAGCAGTCAGCATGAAGCCCACGGAGAAAAACATCTGCATTGCCACGCCGGCAAAGAGGCGGTACGAGGAGCCCACCATTTCCAAGGCGATCACGTAGGCCACCAGGAAGACACCCGAGGTGGTGGCTCCCACAATCATCCGGGATATGGTGTAGCTGAAGTACTCAGGAGAGACAGCAGCCAGCACGCCAAAGATCAGCTGAATCACCAGCGAGGCGAAGAAGGTGGGCTTGCGTCCCAGCTTATCGGACATCTGGCCAAAGATGAAGCTCCCAAGGAGCACGCCCAGCATGAAAAGCGAGTCGCTGGTGGCGCTTAACAGACTCCGGTTGCACACCATATTCCACTCGGTGACCGCACTATTGAGGTACTTGCTCTGGTCGTAGACGTAGCGGGAACAGCTCCTGGTCTGGTTACTGCTCCGCGGAATGCTGCCGTTCAGGTACTCCTCTGAGTACTCCACATCGTAGTAGGAGCAATAATCTCCCTGCGGATACGACAAATTCCACTGGTGCGGCGGCAGCTCGTACCGACTTTCCTCATTTTCGAAGGGCAGGGCGCAGCGGAAGTCAGGCTTAGCCAGCAGGAACACTCCGGCCAGCTTGTGGAAGGCGCAGACAATGGCCGGCAGGCAGAGAAGGTAGTAGATGCGCTTCTGGTAGCGACCAAACTCCCCCAGGTGGGTGATGACGTCGTCGTAGCCCATTTTCGAGTCTAGGCCACGTTAAGCAGGTGTCACACTGATTTAAGGGGGACCGTCGAGTGTCGTACGATAACTGGCGAGCGGTTCAATGGTCGCAGCTAGCACCTCTCGCGACTCCGTGACGTATGCGTAACTTATTAGTGAGGCGCGTGGCGTTGCGTATACGCCCGGTGCATCTAGTGCAGCCTAACCCGTTTGATTGTGCAACGATCTGGTTGGAATTGGAGCCAGGGTCTTCAGCTGCAGCAGCCTCCAGCGCGAGTAGGTGGCCAAACTGATCTGCGTATCGATGCGGGTATCGGTCCCGGTCTCTGATCGAAGTGGTGGAGTGCGCGATCAACCGCTCGCCAGCTGCGTCAGTCTCAGACTAAACACAAAGAGCGCTTGAGGGTTCTGAAGAACCCAAAACGCTCCACGACCAGCGTGGTGCGTGCCCGTATCTGTGTCAGTGCGAGCGTTCTAGTCGACTATCTGTGCGAGTGTGTGTGTGAGCGTTCCACCCTGTGACCAATCTATTGATCACCCATAGAAGCGGAGTTTTCATGGAAAACAGGGATGGAAAAAGGAGGCTGCAATGCAGCTGCCTTACGTATTTGGGCATCGTACGATCTCGAGTAATTAGTGGCCGTACGAATAGCTCCTCGCCAGAGAAAGAGTTCACTGAAAGTGGCCTGATTCCGACTGATGATGGCAAAGCATAAATTCCATTCTTTTGCAGAAGACCATACAGCCGAGGTCAATAAGGTGTCCTCATATATCAATTGGAATTAAATTTGGAATATTAAATAAATTAATGATTACATTTTATAACTAACAGATGATAATTTTAAGATTTAAATTTTAAAACAAATTTATAAAAAAAACTTCCATGATCTAACATTATTTTTTAAATTTATTTTTCTCTCAAATGTATATTGATTTATTGCATTTATTTGTTTAATTTTCTTTTAAATATTTTGCTATATAAAAATTAAATCTATTCATATTATTCTGACCTCAGCTGTGCCTTCATATATGTATGTGCCCCCGTATATGTATGTATATGGAGACCTTGTACATCTATTCGGCAAACGCTCTCCTAAACGCTGCTCTTCTAATCAGTTCTAGTTGCTCTTTGGCTGAATTCTCTTCGCCACATATCCCTTATGTCTGTTATCTCGAAAACATTTACAAGCTTATTCAAATTGTAAATGGAATATTAAGAGGCTGGGCTACTGCAAGTGCACTCTGAAATAGTGCACCGTAAATAGACGACGACCCACTTTAAGATCAAGTGCAAAATGCTTCGAGGCCTGTGGATTATGCAAATCCCAAGACTCGGGTGAGGCCAGTGCGTTCTGAACACTATTCACGAGTCCAAGTTATTTTTGGCACTGTAACCATGTTGCTTGCTTAGCAAAAGCACAGAATAATCTCGTGATTTGGAAGTCTGCGCGGGTCCAATTCTCAAATGGCAGTCTCGTGTCTCGGCGGCTGATAAGAAGCTGTTACGAAAATAAAAACAACGGAAACACATTTCAAATGTCCGGACAGGTCAAATATTCACATTGCGTCCGGGTTTATGAGGAAAATTGGGTTCTGGAATTGGTTTCTGTTCTGGAAAATACTAGATTTTATTTAAAAATTGTTTCTTGGAATACATGCATAAATGTAATTGGTAAATTATTATTTAATAGATAGGAATAAATTATGCAGCGGCACAACTGCAGCGAGGAATTCTTGGCATATCATCCACATTTTCCATGGGTTTTCCCAGGGAAAGTCACCCCTAACTTTTAGAAACCCTTATTTCTCTCTACGTGGCCGCTGCTCCCTGGCTAAGTGCTAACATGATCTATTCGGTGCTACCTATTCTTTTAAGTTTTTTTTGTCTTCTCTTTTTTCTTTTTTGGTTACGTGAGATTTCAGAAATGATATAATACTTGGTCTATCTTTTATGGTAAATGCTAAGCCTTTGGCCTGGCCGAATTCTAGATGCCCTGTGTGCCCTCGTGTCTGTCATTCTTTTCGCTGGAAAAATTCAAGTGAGTTTATGCCTTGAGATTTCCTAGAACTTTTGGCCGTTGGCCGCGTGTCCGTTGCTGTCCGCCCCCTTGAGTGGCTGCGCCTCCGGAGTCTGGCGCAGCTCTTGGCCCGCCTCCAGATAGACATCGCCCTTGGTCTTCTTCCCAAATCGCTCGCCATCCGCTATGGTCTCCAGCATGGGCTTGTTGTGCGTCTCCGGCAGCAGGAGCGAGAGCAGACCCGCTGCCAGGGAGAGGGTTCCGCAGATGAGCAGCGGCAGTGGCTTCCAAATGATTTCGAGGGAGCTGAGGAACGGCGCCAACATCCCGCTGATACGGGCCACCATTGAGGCGGCGCCCAGAGCCACATTCCGCACCACCGTGGGGAACTGCTCGGCGGAGAAGATGTAGACGGTTCCATACGAGGCAGTAATGGCCAGCTTGCCCAACATGGCACAGGCCACAAGGAGGGTGTGCATCTGCTCGGGAATGATCACGGTGACTACCAAGCTAAGTCCGGCGACCACCAGGCAGCCGCAGAGGATCGATCGCCTGCCCCAGCGGTTCAAGGTCAGGAGAAGGAATATGTAGGCCGGTATTTCCACGGCGCCGGATATCACGAAATTGAGGAGCACGTTGCCGCCGAGAGTGTTGGGGTTCCAGGAGAGGCCGTAGTAGACTCCACTGGTCACCAGCCAGTCCAGGAAGATGAGCAGAGTCTTCTTGCGAAGATTCGGGTAGCAGAAGAGATCCCACACGGATGGCGGCGGTCCCTCATCCCTGAGCTCCTGCTCCTGACCCTCCAGCTTCTGCTTGGCCTTATCCTCTGCCGTTTCACCCTCGTCCAGGAGCTCTCTTAAGACCTCGTTTGAGATTTCCACCTTGTTGAAGCGTGCGGCCTTCTGCATATTGGCAATGACGCACTCTTTCCGCCCCTTCGTGATCAGCCAGCGGCCGGACTCTGGAATGATCCAGTAGTAGCCCAGAAAGATGAGGCCCGGCAGCGTCAGAGCTATTTGCAGCCAGCGCCAGTCGTGGACGAAGTAGGCAAATGCCGCCGTCAGCATAAATCCCACGGAGAAGAACATCATCACGAAAATGCCGGCGTAGAGGCGCTTCGCGGGTCCCACCATTTCCAGGGCGATGACGTAGGCCACCAGGAAGACGCCCGACGTGGTGGCGCCCACCATAATGCGGGCCAGCGTGTAGGTGAAGTACTCGGGCGCCACCCCAGCCAGGACACCGAACAGGACCTGAATGACCAGCGAGGCGAAGAGGATGGGCTTGCGGCCGTACTTGTCGCTCAGCTGTCCAAAAACAATGCTCCCCAGGAACACGCCGAGCATAAAAAGCGAGTCACTGGTGGCGGCCATAAAAGCCCGTCCGCACACCAAGTTCCACTCGGTGACGGCACTGTTCAGGTAAGTACTCTGGTCGTATACGTAATGTGAGCAGTCCCTGGTCTGGTTGCTGCTCCGGGGAATGCTTCCGTTGAGGTACTCCTCCGAATAGTCCACGTCATAGTAAGAGCATGTCCTCATGATTCCCTCGGGGGGATACGAGAGATTCCACAGGTGGGGCGACAGTTCGTACCCACTGCCCTCCTCCTCGAAGGGCAGGACGCATCGGAAGTCGGGCTTGGCCAGCAGGAACACGCCGGCCAGCTTGTGGAAGGCCACCGGTATGGAGGTCAGGCAGACGAGAAAGTATATGATCTTCTGGTAGCGCCCGAAGTCGCCCAGCTTGATGATGGCCTCGTCGTAGCCCATTTCGTGTATTTTGTGTGCGAAACTCGTGAGACTTGCCGCGCGGCGAACAGCTGCTGACCGCTTTCTTTGAGTCGCGCGGAGACAGTGAATCACTAAATCGGAAACGCTACGCTTTTTGGCACTATCTCGTGATGTCTGCGCACTCAGTTCGTCAGAACCCAAGTTCCGCCGTTGCCCACTCTCTCCACAAGCTCCTCCGTTGACGTGTACTTTGCTCCCGAGCCAAACCGAGGGGGAGCTCTCTCTCTCTTTCGCTAATTCTCTTTCACAGCAATTATCGGCCAACACGTGTTGCCGAAAAACTGGCCAAAGAGGAAGAGGGAAGCCGAAAGGGGCACTGGACGACACCGTCGACACTCTAACAACTCAAGACCCGGGGCGATGCGTCACCTAGGACCGGCGAAACCGAACTGAGAACCAACTGAAAACCGCCAACAGCAAGTGGGAATGCAGTGGCTGAGGCAGACTGGGCTGCCGGCGCGCCGGCTGTATACCCGACCCGCTCAGATACTCGGATATGTTTATGTTGGCAAAAAGAACCGACAACAACCACAGCTACAGCCACAGCGGCACTTCGCTGAGCGATACCAGGCCGGCATGCGCTCAGCGGTGGAGCAAGGCTCTCTCTAACGCTCTCCAGTACCGGCACACACTCTCCCTCGGATTGGGTTCTTGTGGATTACATAGACACAGCCACCCCTAGCCATTGTTGGTAGCAAATTACAGCGATCCCTGGTGCATTACAAATGCTACCAATTTGTGTTTGCACAGCCGGCGCAGCGGAGTCAGGTAAATGGAAATTCGGACGATACTTCGATGGACTTTCGTCAATCAGGCGATCGATCACTCAAAGATCTTGCTGCTCTCTCTCTCTCCTTCTCGTCTTCCAATTGAGCCGCGCTCCGTCGACCAATTAAGCGAATCTTTGAAAGAGCCAGAATGAAAAATGAAGCCGAGGGCATCGACTGACAGATACCCGTTGGTTCTAGATTGTTCTTCTCTATAAAATATACATACATATTGCCTGCCACAAGGCGAAAGATAACTAAGCTTATGAAGGTATAATTATAGCATAAATATGAATCCCGAATAAAAATAACTTCTAATTAAATAAGTACTCAACTTTTTGATATTTTTAACTTTCTTATTGATTTCCAGATGAGTACTTCTGGCTCAGTTCTGTTCTCATCTGTTGTTGATAAGTAACACATTTTACATTTTCTTAAACATAATATACCCTGGTTATCCGCATAAGTACTGGGCATCGGAACTCTCTCAATTGGGGCTCAATTGGTAAGCGTGAAGCAGTCCTATTATGGAGAACGCTAAATCAAAGGCGGAAAATCGTATGATTCCATGGAACCCCCGTCTTACTCAACTTCTTCTTTCGCCTGAATTTTTCTTCAGAACCTTTCGATGTGGCAGCGCTTTATAGCTACAGATTTGCTCGGTCGTCTATATTTATTTATCGGCAATGATTTTACTTAAAACAAATATTCAGAAGGCCAAAAATATCAGTGAGTTCATTGATTTCTTGGCTCAACTTGGAGCTTGGAACGAAGCTGAAAGGTTTTTGCTGACATTTGGGGATCATTAGCCATATACAAAAGGTATATACATAACATATTATTACAATATCTTTGAAATTAACCACTAAACCATTATCCAGACTCAAAATAATTTGTACTAAGCTGAATTGTATTGTATAACAATCATAAAAAAATATTTAATTAAAAAATAAATAAAACATTGTCAACCAAATAATTAACCCTAATATATATAATTTATTTTTCTCCATAGCTTGGACCCTTTAAAATTTTCTCCTTATGAAATCTTATTATTTGGATTCAAATTCAAACCGTTACATTCGTTATAGCTGCCGTGCTGCCAGACCTTGCGTTACGCATCTGAGATACCAGACATTCGAAAAATATCAACTATCGATAATTTTTAAATCGTTTAGAAAATTTTTTATATGTGTACCTAAGTTATGAGCATGGAATATTTTTTATTTGTTAAAATAATACAATTTCTATTAAAAGAAAAAGAATATTTCTGAATATTTATAAATTTATTACACGAAATTAAACTGGTATTTTATGGTGTTTTTCGTTGGCTCTGCAAGTATTTCTTATCGATAAGTTCTGCGGTCACACTGCTCAGCTGTTGCCCGCGCATTCGTAAACAAAATCGGAACTCTGCACAGTCGTCGTCGGATGATCCTCGCCTCAAATCGAATCTGGGAAACACAACACCCCTTCGGATCTACGTCAAGTTTACAACATTTTCGGGAAACTCGCGCTACGACGCCGGAAAAGCTCTAAATTCTAGTGAACAAGCAGAAGCCAGCGCCTCGATCGATTCCAAGTGGGTTCCTGCCCCAATGTGTGCTCGTGTCCGTAAAAGAGTTCCCCACTGACCACCGGTAACCACTCGCTGGACGAGATCTACAGCAGTTCACATGTAAGTAGGCAGCAGCAGGCACTCACCTGTAAAGGCGGATTTGCGCCACTCGCTTTTTGTTGACTTGCAATTTTCTTTGCTTTGAGCCTGACATTGGCGAATTCTTGCCCACGGAATCGGTTTGTGGATTTACGGTGGTGCAACCAAGCAATCGATTTGCCAGATGCGGAAGTTTTTATGCCCTAACTAGAGGTGCATTAGTTGTGGGCAGGTGCTTACAAATAAGACTGTGAATCAGTTTTAAAGGTGTCATTGCGCCACTCAATTTGTCATAATTGGTCTTATTGTTATAGTTTGGGCTTTGTTCGATATCGGGAAACATTATAGTAGTGCAAAGTGCAAAATAATAATTATATTTTGTTTTTCTAAACTCTGACAAGATCAGTCTCATTATAAAACAGGCCTCGGCTTATACATTTAAAGGAGTTCGATCAACATCAAGTATCTATACTTCTTATAAATGTGTGTTAGCGTATACTAACTTCCATAGATCCCCTATATTTTTTGTTCAATCATAGTTTGCTTTTTAGTTTCGTCTGTTTACGAAGGGGAGGGAATGGGAATTGGGAATGGAGGGAGAACGTGACCGTGAATCAAACATCTCTTTGTGTGAGTCGCACCCTCTCCGGGTGCTAGTGTCACCACCAATTCTCACATTTCCTACAGCTGTCCTCCTCCTACCACATCCCGCACCCCCGCAGAACCATGTACACACACACACACACCCAGACTGGAACGGCCCGAAAGACACAGAGAGAAATATGGTTCTATTTATAGACAGAGCCAGGCAAAATGCAAGGCCCCATGTCAGCGTCGTCTTTGTTGCCGTTGGGTTTTAAAGCAAACTCAAAGACAGATTTGTGTCCCGACCATTTTAATTGAGTGCGGAAATGAGCAAACATTTCTTGGAGCCCCCGTCCAGGGACACAAGTGTCGTTCGTCTGTCGACTGTTTGTGTTTCTCCATTCGAAGCACATTTTGTTTATTTATGTGGAAGACAAGCCGGGGTAGGGAGTGAGGAGGCCTCATGGCGTCGCTCCTTCTTTGCTGCGCATGCGTGTCCGTGTCAGCGGACGTGTCCAATGCCCATCCTTATCTGTGAGCACTTTAGAGCCAATTAAAAGGGTTCGACAATGCCCTTTCCTGTAGCGCAGGGTAATTTAGAGGGAATGAATATAGCTTTTAGTATTTTCTCTAAGCAACATCCTGGCCCGCACAAGGGTGTTCAGCAAGTCTGGACTTTTTGGGCGTGGAGTCCAAAACCCTCGCTAACTGGCAAAGTCTAGTTCATGTCGCTATTCCTTGCTGTCACTCAAGCCCTGCCCTGATCAACCCCATCCATCCTTGCCGAGGCTCAACACGCGCCACACAGCTGACAGGAACTCGGTATGGAAGGCGATCCTGATCCTCATCCTGATCGCCCCATTGTCACCGCCGACAGCTGCTTATATTCGAGCCCCGAAACGGAGGCTTGCTGAGAAGTGAGTAAGCCCTCTTGGAGTGGCCACTGGATGGAGGATGGGTTTCAGATGCGGCGGAACAATTTGCATATAATACTCGCGCACACAAAAATAAATATAAATAAAAAAAAAAGAGAAACACCGAAACGGCCGACGACGATTGTTCCGAGATTCGCCTATTCCGCCGCACAGCCCGGAGTGAAAGTCAGCCGAGTGTGTGTGGTTTAATTGCAGCTTTTGTTTTGATAGTCGATTAGCATAATTCGAGATGTATTTCTCTCCAATCGCGGTTTCGCTGATTGTTTTCTTTTTATATATCTCTTGTTTTATGTATGACTTTTTCTGTGCAGTTAAAGCTAACGCAACAAGGCAGCAGCGCGTGCTTCCAAACATTTTCGATTAATATTATTCGAAAAGGAAGTGGGAAACTTACCGTTTTTGGTTTCCTGCTGTATATCGTGATAAGACTATGTCACGAATAGCAATGGTGATTCAAAATAAATAGTTGCATCATCGAAAAAGGGGTTAGTTTGGAATGCAGTTGGGATTTTGATAAGAAGTTAGCTAATATACTACCATTTAAAACATTATTTTTGATATATCCAAATACCTAGAAAGACTATTTAATTATTTTGCCATGATTTTACAGATAGCTAGAAAGACTCTCCTGTTGAAGCTGATCAAGAATATATATAAATTATGCTGTCGGAAATTACTCCTTCACTGCATTAATATTCAGACTAAAATTATAATACCTTGGCAAGGGTAAATAAAAACAATCTGCGGTCACAAACTTTGGAGATTATGCAGATTTCCATTGAAAATAGAGTCTTCCAACCTACGCTCTCAGTTGCCTTTTTCTATCAACTGTTACTTTCGTTTGATTAATGACCTGTAGTCTATTTATAAATTGGTAATCATTATATATACGTTTCAACGAAAAGTCCGAAAATAGATTTGCCTAGTTTAAGCTTTTGGTGGGAAAAAGGCAAGACTTTCGGAGTTCATTTCCCTTCTTTTTTTTTTTTTGGGGATGCCTGTCTGACCAATAAATAACCATATATTTTCTCACAACAAAAGAAGTGACAAAAATAATTACATTTCACCTGTATTTTTTTTTTGCTGGCGGCCGTCAAACAAGTAATTGCGCTGAGAATGGAGATAAGATTAAATGTGAAACGATAACACACATTAGGAGCAACACAGGCACAGCCAAACAACGCCGACAAATAAAAACAAAGCCTGGTTAACATGGGCCCAAAATGTTGACCCAAAATAAACACAACTTGAAGAGCAGCCTCTAAATTCTTCTCTCCCCTTTTTTATTTTTTATATATTTTTTTTCTGTGAGTTTAAATATCCGCCAAGTGCAAAGTAACGACTTGCAGGCGGCGACGGCGCACCATATGGAAAATCTGTGAACATGTGTTGAGGGAAATGAGTTACGGGGCCGTCACACAAATCCATCAACGTCGGGGAGACGCTTGGGTAATGGTGGTAATGGCAATGGGAATCGGATCGACTGGGACTGGGTCTGGGTCCCGGTGAGATTTGCATTTTAATTGCATCTCGCAACAGTAGGAAGCGGCCAGCGTTAATTGCCGCTT